ATAATAATGTAATATTCCTTTGCATTTTAAGAATTTTTATAGGAACAGCGATTAAGTGCTCGTTTTATAAAATATGAATACGCCTTATGAATATGATAATATTGGAGAGGAGGACATAGGGAAAGAGCCGTGCCATTTTATAGAGAGTTTTGCTATACATTATGTGGTTATACATCACTCGTATTATTAGGTATTATGTTTCGCCTTTCGAAAAAAAATTTACAAATTCGGCGATTTAAATTAAGTAACTTGATATATCCTATCTTCCCAACTTCCCACCTACAATAGTAGCACAACCGTCCTTAGTAACAGCACATTTTTTTTTATTAACTATAATTTGGTTTTATTATTTAGGTATCCTTATTTTATCCTAAAAATTAATTTTGAATTGATTTTGATTGAAATTTATTTCATTTTATGTTGTACAACACGCCTACTATCGATCAATGGCGGTCAAATGGTTATGTCATTATAGGGGAGGGGGAAGGATAATCTTTAATAACGATTATAATTTATATAATTTTTTGGTTGATTTAAAAATATATAATATAGTATACGGGTGAGTTTTCAAGCATGCTCCATCATGCATAAATTCATATTCTGATTTTGGGTGTAGTGAAAGGCAATATTTTCACATACTTCGATTTTTCACAATACTTAATGATTATTTTGTGGCGATAACACCCTTGGTTTTTCAAATGAGAACCTACATTTTTTGATGCGAATTATTAATCAAATAACTCGTTTGAACATTTTAAGGTCTGGTAATAGTTGTAATCGAAATTTGAACAATACATTTCTGAGTTATTCTGTTAAGAATACTAAGAAAAATTGTCTTTTATGAGGATTGGATAGATAACGAATGTTTTATGAGTCGTGTATATGTGATTTCTTGTCTAAAGTAGAATATAACTCATAAACTTTTCGTTCAAATTTCAATTACAGTGCATCAATATTTTCAGAAAAATTATTTTTTTTCAACGTTACATCATTGCTTACGAAAAAAAACGATTCTGAGCGAAGTTCAGTTAATAGTGATACTTTTTCAACAATATATATACCATATTATAGTAAAATAATTAAATAGGCTTTATATATTGTCTTTAATAATATTTATTTAATGTTGTGCCAATTTTTCCAGATTTCCCATGTTTTTCTCGGTTTTTCACATTTGTTGGGAAAACTCATGAGAAAATTGAAAAATAACCCCTTTAAAGTATCTCCCTAATGAAATTTTCCTTCAGATAAATTGCTATTATTAAAAATTGGAGTAAAACTGCTGGTACAAAAATTATCTACAGAAAAAAAAAATCGTCATATTATACAAATATATTTCGTACATTTTCCCGTTTTTTTCTGTTTTTTGAATTTTATGAGAAAACTATTAAAAAAATCGAAAAATGACCTCCTAAAAGTAACCTTCTATACCGGTTGTCTTTCAAAAAAGTGCTGCATATAAAAATTTGAGCAAGTTCTCTGGTACAAAAATTGTTCGCAGAAAAAAAAAATAAATATCTATGTAAATCCATAAGCTTCTTCACTCCACTCGGAATATAAAAATATAGTAATCATATAAAAAATGTGTTTTTATTATTATTACATTACTTATATTAGGACCGCGGACAAGGTTGGGTAGGTAAAATACGTTAATGTATAATATGTATAATACGTAGGTATTATACTGAATTATAAGTTTAGTTCTATACATATTATACATATATTTTAAATTCTGAGTGTTGCGAATAATATTTTGGTTTTACAAAGATGTTTATTTTTTTTTTTTATAATGTACAAAAAATGTTTTTCTCTTAACTTTAATTATTCAGCTACAATTTTATCGTCTCTTGGTGCGATACAATTATTAAATATAAATGTCCGTACCTTTACGGTTATTAATGAAATGAAATGCTTTTGTACTATCTCAAAATATAAATACTTTGTTAAATAATATGTAGGTCATTCTATCGGTCCTCCAACCGAGATAAGATTAGATAGGTAGTATATTTACAACAATTCGAATAATAACCGAATAATTATAGACCTTCATTAAATAAAAACCATTTTAATTAACAATATTATAAATTTAAGTTTCAAAAAGGACTTCCTAGGATAATGGGATGGATGCAGCTACTGTTATAGGTAATTTAATGTATACTTGTAAGCAACAATTAACCATTACTAATGGAAAAACGATTTTGAGCGGATTTCAGTTGACAGTGATTCTTTGTCAACAATATATATATATGCCATATTATGGTTAAATAATTAAATATGCCTTATATATTTTCTTTAATAATATTTCTTTAATTTATTTTTTTTAATGTTGTACCGATTTTCCTGGTTTTTCTACGTTTTTCCCGGTTTTTCACATTTGTTGGGAAAACTCTCTATACTACCTTCCTATACCGATTTCCTTTCAAAAAAGGTCCACACGTAAATGTCGGAGCTAGTCCTTTGGTAGAAAAGTTGACACAGGCAAAAAAGAACAAACATCTATTTAAAACCATGGACTTCTTCGCTCCACTCAAAATCTAAAATTAACAGAATTAACAAGATTTCTCTAAATATACAATTACATACATAATGTTTAAAATATGAAAAAATAAATGGTTTTATTTAATCGAGAATAAACTAAATTTTGGAAATATCTGATAACCAATCGATTTGGACTTGGGAAAAAAAAAAACAAAAAAAACCGTATTGATCATATAGCAAGGATGATAAATCCATGGCATGCATGCCTAAGTGAACAAATTTTAAGGGCACGCGGACAATTAAAATATTTATATTTTATTTTTGTTTTTCATAATAACGCCAGAATTTCACACATATTTTCATTATAAAAAATATATATTTAAATAAATATATATTTTTTATAATTTAAAATCGTGGTCGGAAAAAAATAAAAAAAAATGTTATTTTTGGCATGTAGCATCAAAATAATTTGCCACCCATGTTATCTGGTAAAACCAATAATAAATCCCTTGCTATATACTTAGAATCTAATACTAATAGTCCAATATTAAACAGACTACGGTAGTTGTTGAACCATTTTTTTGATTTTTTTTTTTTTTGTAAATATTTACTCGGAATTCAATCGACAATGACAATCGTTTACCGGAGACCACGTACCTTGGTTTGAATTTTCAGATAAAACGTCTTCGACCTTAATAGATCTTTAAGTAATGGGTATCTGCGATAGTAATTTTCGAAACGGACCCGCTTAAAAATAATATACACAGTGATTTAATAAACGCAGAATGTTCCAAATAGTGTGTTCCAATATACTTTCCAATTTTCAGAGAAACATATTTTAGATTCTGAGTGAAGCTTATGATTTTACAAAGATGTTTATTTTTTTTTCTGTGGACAACTTTTCTACCAGAGAACGTGCTCCGATTTTCAAATGTAGAACCTTTTCTGAAAGGAAATTGGTGTGGGGAAGTATTTTATAGAGATCATTTTTTTATTTTTTCAACGAATTTTCTCATCAAATACGAAAAACCGAAAAAAAAATAATGGAAAAAAGGAAAAATGTACGAAATATATTAGTATATTATCACGATTTTTTTTCCATAGTAGATTCCTATCAGTAATTTTTTTCTAACTGAAAATGATAGCAATTTTTTTAAAAGGAAGTTTTTACCACTGGGGAGGTACATTAAAGAGGTCGTTTTTCGATTTTCTCCGGGATTTCCCCAGCAAATATGAAAACCATAAAAAGTATTTAAAAACCAAGAAAAACGTAGGAAAAACAGGAAAACCAGTACAGTAAACAAATATTATTAAAGACTATATATAATTCCTATTTAATTTTTTTACCTATATAAGACATATATATTGTTTACAAAGCATCACTATATACTGAACTTCAATCAGAATCGTTTTTCGTTAGCAATGGTTTATCGTTGCTTACAAATAGCCATTAAATTACCTATAACAGTGGGTGCACCCGTCTCTATTCTCCTAGGACGTCTTTTTTTATATTTTTATTTACTATATCTGTATTAAGAATTCCATAAATAGATGGAATAATAATTAGGTATGTTGTTTTAATTGAACAATTTTTTTTTTGTAATAAATCTATAGTAAAATGTATATTGACCTGCTTAGGTTTAGCATATTCAAAATGTTGAAATGACGTCCTTGTAAATATACTCGTGTTTTACGTTATCTCCACTTTAAGAAATGTTCACGCAGAATTGGTAAGAACTTTATATATTGACATTTTTCATATTCTCATAGAAGTAGATTATTGGTTATCTAAGTCATCAGCAGAGTTAAGTAATAAATAATTTTATACTCCCCTTCCCCCCTATTTATTATATTTATTTTTCTATCCTAGTCTCTATTTTTGAAAATACCCCCTCCCCCCGCGATAATCACTACTGAGATAGGCACCTGTAAATAATAAAATCATTTTCTTCCTCAAATAGTTTTTGTTGATCACAAACTTATGTAAATGTACCTTTTTAGAAAATATTTTTAATAAGTAGAAACCATTTTATTAATTTAAAAAAATTAAATACGATTGCATATTAAAGAAAAATCTATTTCAATTTTTAAAAATAAAAACAAGATTCTTTTTCAATTATTATTTGAAAACTAAAATTGCATTGGTCCGTAATTTATGAAATAGAAAAAAATATATAATAATATTGTAATACAATACGTAACGTTGAATATAATAGTATAGCGCCTTCCAACGATCTCACGTTAACTTGTCCTCTGATTAGAAATCCGCTAGATCGCGCCAGATAACTAGTTTAGGTTTAGGGCAATAAATAGTGATATAACTAGAATAACTATTATAAACGCTGTAACCCCACAGTTATTATTATTACAAGTATTATGATGTTATCGCACTCTTGATATCGACCCCTCCACCAATGCTGACCTCATGTCTTCACTTTTGGGTTTTCGTAAAGAATTTTTGATTTGTTTAAAAAGCAGTCTTAGACCCAAATTTTCCAATTTCAAAAGCTCAAAAAAAAAAAAAAATGGAGCAATTATCAACTCTTCTAGAAGAGCTGAAAAATGAAAATCAACTTCTACGTGATGAAGTAGACATCCTTAAGGGTAAAGTGTCATGGCTCGAATCTCTTGATTCATCTTCTCTGATCTCCTTTGTTGTTGCCCAGGTCTTGTAGAAATCATTCAAACGAGAAAGATACTCATCCAATGATTTGATTTATGGCGTACCTGAATCATCTTCTACTACCACTTCCCAATGTATCCTTAACGATACATCTATTTTTGAGGAAATTGTGTTGCTGTTTTCTAGCATGTTTCCTACTTATTATAAACTGGTTCGCCTTGGTAAATTTCAACCTGATACCCATTTTCATCTTAAGTTAATTTTGGATCTAAAGATAATGCTTTAAGTTTGTTATCATCCTACAGTGATGCTAAAAAAGTGGTTCTAACTTCCCTCCAAATTTTTGGATTGTAAAGGATAAAACTCCTTAAAAGAGTGGACTGCTGCGTAATTGTCACTTTGAACTGGAACGTAGGTCTTAGGTTGGTGAAATTGGACTGCCGATATCCTACATTGATGGTGTACCCAAAGTCACGCTAAACCAATCAATTAATAAAAATTTTTCCCGACGATCAGTTAACATCAACCCTTAATCTCTTCACCTTTAATTTAAACAGCTTCTGGTTTTTACCAAAACTTAGGACTAAACTTGTAAATTTTCAATGTAATTTGACTTGAATTACTTTTGATTTTCGTATGCTAACTGAAACATGGTTGAATGTTTCTCATTCTGACAATGAAATCAGTCTTGCAAATAATAATTTATAAAGATATGATAGATGTGCTAATACTAGTAATTGTTTAAGGAGTGGCGGACTTCTTATTGGTTTACGTAAAGATTTCCCATATAAACTTATTACTGTTCCCAATATTAATTTTGAACACTTGTATGTCGAGTTTTCTAGGTTTTTAATTAGTTGTGCATACTCTTCTCCTCAGCGTTCGTCTTTATTATTTGAAGTCTTTATGTCTAGTCCATACCACACGAGTCCATTATTCAATTATATCCATACCACACCTTCATAATATACAATAACTTTAAACTACCAGAGATTTCTTAATTATTCGTCTTCCTCTTATTTTTGCACTCCATGTCTACCTGAAATCTTTGCTTTCAATGGCTGTTTCCGAAAACACTCTATTTTCAATTCAAAGTGTTCATCCTTGATTTAGTTTCAGCAGTTCTAACTCTGTTATAGTAAGCGAATCTTTTGACATATTTGTCCCTTCTGATTTTTACCATCTTCCACTTAGCATATCGATACCTGACGTCTATTCTCCTTCCTTGTTTGATAATGAATAATTTTATTCATTATTATTATTATTATTATTATTTACTGTTATTTTTATAACTTCCGCAAAGTAAATTATAGTCAAATTATAGCATTCTTATCATCTTTTGACTGGTTTTCTACCCTCTCGAAACTTGACCTTAATGCTACCACATTTACTTTCACTGATGCTCTTGATAACTCCATCTTACGTTTCATCCCTGTGTCTTGTTTTTTTTAAATCAACTTTTCCTCCATGGGTTACCAAAGATCTTAAAGACTTAGTGTATCGTAAAAATATAGCACATGCTAAATTCAAATCATCTTATGACTCTAGCTATTATAAAACTTCTTCCCTGCTCCGGGCTGAATATAAATATGCATCCAAAAATGTTTCAAACTCTTTGTTGAACGTACAGAGATATTTCAATTTAAGGAACATAATAAGTTCTGGGACTTTATACACAAAAATTGCACCCAAATTCTTGTCCCGAAATCGGTTTCTTTTAACTTTCACTAGCTTTTACGAACGGGAAAATGTTAATCTGTTTTCTGAATATTTTTCATCTGTTTACTCTTCAAAACTGATTGATATTAACTTGCTGTCCTTAAAAATACCGTCCTTTGATTTACCTAACTTTTGTAACTTCTCCTCGAATGACGTTCTCCTAAAACTAACAACTCTTAAGAATATATCTTCTGTTGGTCCTGATGGTATACCACGTTAACTACCTTGCTTTATGATTTATTTACCTTAGATCATATGAAAATATTTTCCCAAATGTATAGAAAATTGGATCCATCATTCCTATTTTAAAGTCTAGTTACCCTTCTCTGGTGACTAAATATAGGCCAATTTCTATTCTTAGTCATATTCCAAAAATACTTGAGTCTTTCGTCTTAGATGCTATTCAGCCCTCAGTCAATCTAATTTTAATTAATGAATAATACGGATTTCGTCTGGGCCATTCTACTACAACATGTAACCTTTCTTTTTGCAACTATATTTTTAATATTTCTATCGATTCTAATTTATGCAATCTTGGCTTTATTTTTTCTCCTTTCTTTGTCCTTGATCAAATATTGACGATATCACCTACAAAGTGTTTAAGGTTTTAGGTTTTATTAAAAGAACAGCAAATGAATTCAAACTCTCCTACTCTCTTATATCACTTTTCTGTTCTATTGTTAGAACTGTTATTGAACATGGCTCGGTTTTTGGGATCCTCAGACTATGGACGCTCGCAAACAACTCGAGCGTGTTCAGCGCAGATTTCTTAGTTTCGTAAAGTATACTTTTAATATTAATTATGTACCTCACGACTACACTCCCGTCCTCCGTTTTTTTAAATCTCACTACCTTAGCCAATCATTTTCATCATCTTAAGAAATCTTTTCTCCAAAAATTTCTCTCTGGCTAAGTTGACTCTCCTTCCATCCTTGTACTTTTAAATTTTAAGGCACCAACTCATATCCGGAATTATAATTTTTTGTTACTCCGCGTTACCTAACCAACAATTTAAGAAACGAGCCTCTCACCAGGATGATGTGTATAGCCAATGAAAACCCGTCATTTTTCCTGTAAGTTAATTTTTGTTATTTTTGTTTTTAAATTTTTGTTTTTTGTTCTTAATTTAATTACACCATACTATGTATCAGAATGTATTTTGTTTTGAAATTTTTGTAAATTAAGCTCCAGTTTTAATACATAAGAATCTCGATAACGACGATTTATCTTTCGGCATTTTGATAAAAATAAAGTAATTAAAACGCGAATTACAACTGAAAGTACATACGAACGCGACTGAATTAATGGCAATAGTCACTGGTGGTAATCAATATTTTCTTACATTGGTATATGTATTTTATTTCATCGATTATTAATCTAAGGTCATATTTGAGAAAACCGGTTATACCTACAAGTATACTTACAAAATGTATTTTAATATTAATCGAAACAATAAAAATATAATATTTTCTTCTTATATTACAATAGTGTATATTTCAAAACCCTCAAATAAATAAAAAAGTTCCAGGTAAATTTAAAGATAAACTTAATGGTTAAATAATGACTGAATTTGTTGGATTAAAGTCTTAACTATATACATTTAAAGTATTTGAAAATAAAAATGAAATTTAAAAGCAAAAGATGTAAAAAAACTTATAGTTAAAAATTAATTATGTTTTAATGATTTTTATAATTATTTAAAAAATAAAAAACCAAAATATGTAAAACAGAACACTTTTAGAACAAATAAACATAATATTTATACCGTTCAACAAAACAAAAAAGCTCTTAGTGCATATGATGATAAAATATATATTTTAGAAAATGGTATTGATATTGTAGCTTGAAGACATTATTCAACAAAAATAGAAAGAGAAAATTCTAGCAAAAGGTTTATGTGAAAATAGTTTTTTAAACCTTTGCCCGGCTAGCTCAATCGGTAGAGCATGAGACTTTTAATCTCGGGGTCGTGGGTTCGAGCCCCACGTTGGGTGCCACTTTGTAATAAAGTAAATATAAGGGTACAAAATAAATAAATGTAAACCCACTAATCACTTAGATTACTTATTACAGCCTACGACGGTAAGAAACAATATAAGATATACACTATGAAGGGTAACAATAATAAACTTACCTATCCTGAACGGAGTATTCTCAGCAACAATGTTGAGTTTAAATACAGGTATAATTATATTTATTTATTATTTTGATGAAAATAGGTAATAGGAATGATAAAATAAACACTTGATTAAATTAAAAATGATGATATCGGAATGTTAGAAGCCGGAACCACCCGCACTCGCGGGAAGATGAAAAGGATAACGAGTCGCTAAGGCAGGATCCGGTGGCCAAATGAGTCGAGAAGTCTCTTATGAGAAAGAAAGGGGAAAATAGTGGAGTGGTGTTGTCCGGTTCTCATTATCATGTTTTATTATTATATGAGATATTTAACTGTAATACATACTATTTGTATTAATCTAATATATTATATATATTATACATATATATATATATATATATATACTATATAATCTATTATATTATGATATATACCATATTGTATATATCATTGCAAAAACTAATATTTTTCTCTTGTTTTGATATAAGAATTTAACCTTTTGGCCTTATAAAAATATGTGAATGGAGATTAGAAATTAATCTTTAAAATACATTAAATATTACTAAATTACATTTCTTTAATTTTATTTTTTTTAATTTATTCTTTTTAACATAAGTATGTAAATAAAAAACAATATGAACGGAGATCTGAAATTAGTTTTGAAAAATGAAAATATCTGGCTGCGCCAGGATCCCCATTTCTCTACTATATATATATATAGGATGATTTTTTTATCATGAACCAGCAATTATCTTAACGTTTTTTAAGTTAATTTGATTTCGGATTTTTCTAATCATTATGGATCCGTTTTTACATTATTTTAAAACCATTTTTAATTTTTTACCCCTACTCCATATACCTTAAATAAGTACATATTTTTAATTTTCAAATAAGAGTCCCCTTTTTTGAACACAGGTTTGACTAGAGAATATTTTTCTAGAAATTTTGATATGCATAACACTTATATCAAATTTATCATTTATGAGTTATAACAGTTTAAAGTTTAGACCAAAGGAGTAGGGAAGGGTTATAAATTACGTATCTACTGGATTTACTGGACAATAATTTAAGGTCATCCAATTTTCAACATTAATCGTAACATAAATTAATAAAAAACAGGATCGGTGTTATTGATTCTTTCTGGTAGAAAATGTAGGTCAATCTCGGATTTTAACTGTATATTCATACATCAGTGTTTTTGTGCGTGGACACGATCCCGGCGCATGCGTAGTAGGTTAAGAAATAAAAATCGATTTCCACAGCTCTTAGTTGTGTCCATCTCTGCTATAGGGTTCAGTGTTTCTTCTCCCACAGAACTACGCAGTCGTATGGACGCATTTGATGATTTTTGTTACCAACTATTAGCAATCACAACGGTTCCGGTTGTCGATATCGCATTCACGATCAGTTGGTTGAGTTTTGTTAACAAATAAAAATCTAAGTTTTATTTGACCATTATTAATTCAGCTTTACTATAGTCACTATAGTACTAAACGACGGATCTGGTAATATAAGCTAAATTGAATAATGATTAACTTGCATGCAACTAACATTAGTTTTGATAGTTACAACACAGTTAAATAAAAATATTTTTTTTGTATTTAACGTCCCTAATAAAATCATCTTCACCAGTAATTCAATATTAAATCGTAATTTGTATTGCTTGATTATCATTTATTTCATATAATTTAGTCGTCATCGTTCACATTAACGACCACGCTACACCCAGAGAACGCTGCGGTCGAGCTTTGCGAGTTTGGCAGATTTGATGATGAATTCAGTGTTACAACAAGTGGAGATGTTGGGTGATTATTACACCAGAGCACTAGAGTTCCTGTCATCTTTGGGGATAGAATTTGAAACGTATGTGTTATCAGTATTTATTTTATTATAACATAAATTCATTACATAAAATATCGTGATTTGAATAAAGATGGTAATAACGAAGGTACATATTTCTTGAAAAATTAAGAAAATATTTTACATTATTTATTTCGTGAAACCGTCATTTAGTTATATAGATTGGTTTAGCGACTAGTAATGGTTGAGATTGACAACGGTGCTTTGATGACGTTAATGTCATTTAGGTTGTATATTATGGCGGTGCAACTGTAGTAAAAGATTTTACTTGGGCTTGCAAAAACGAATAACATATAAAGTTCCAACTCCATCTTGTGTCCACTGTTGTGTGCGTAATTTTATCTTGATAATATCAGATGCCGTTTAGAGTAACTAAAAAGTGTTAATGTCTTTTTAAACTGTTCGGATTCTATTAAGTTCATTGTAGTTCAAATGCACCAAGATAAATAAGATGATAAAATTAAACAGAATCCTAAAAAAAAGTATGCCCTACTCGCAAAGAATCACGATATGTGTCTATTTATGCCTTAAAAGTAAAATTTATCGATAACTTTAAATTGTTAAGCAATATTTACTTATCAAGACAAAAAAAAAAAAAGAAAGAAATACCTATTGCAAATACTCTCAAAAAAATTGAATTATTATTATTAAATTATTTAATTTGTTTTGTTGTTATGCTTGTGAAAAAAAATATTAGGATCATTATATGAAGTAGCATAGTCTTTTCAATGTAAAAATACTAATTTACATTATGCTTATCAACATTTATATGAGGCTAATTTATTGTATTATTAAAAATTCAAGAAATGAGTATGATGATTTAATATTAACAAGTCACAATATGTTTGGTAAATGAAGAATTTCAAAATATTACTATTAAGTTAATTTTAAAATTCCAAAATATTTCGATGAAGTTGACGGTGGTGAACGATTACATGTTACAAAGAGAACTTTTCAGTTCGAGTTTTATTACCAGTATATGCTATTATTTTTCAACTTTCTAATAGATTTTAGGCATTAAAAGAAATAACTGAAAACTTTGATTTTTTTTTACAACCCGTTAATTTAGTTAAGTTTAGATTAGTTATTAGTTAATTTATCTGAAGATGACCTAACACAATTTTACCCAATTTCAAAAAAAATTATATAAACTTAGATTTAATCAGGCAATTTCAATAAGAGGATTAACCTATTAATTAACATTTATGAAGTCAAAAGTATCGAAAATTAAAATTAAACATTTTTAAAAATATTTTAACTGCAACCTTAATTTATCTCACATTACCTGTAATAGTTACGTCAACTTAAAGATCGTTTTCTAAACTGAATCTTATTAAAAACTACCTAAGGTAGTTAAAGGTTAGGTTAGGTCCAACTTAAAGGTTAGAAAAGTTAAGTTTTATTAGCACGTATTTTTTTTTTTTTTTTTATTATAGACAATAGTTATAATTTATAAATGATGTGAATTTTTTACAAACTTCTCTATTCATATTACCAGCTCTTACCTATATTAAATTACACATTATATAAATAATTAAAGTGTTTTAATATAATATAAAATAGTTATAAAATCTACACTATAAATGTATAATGAATATAATATATTGTAGGGCACCAAATAATTTCTGTTTTAAAAAAATATATAAATAAAAATACATATAAAAATAAAAATTAATTAATTAAAGACGTCGCCTGGAATATAATACACCTATCATAATACCCATTTATTACTTTTTAATACTCTATTTATTTATTTATTTTTCATTTTCATGCATACATTTTTTAATTATATATTTATTTACGAGTATTAACCATTTTAATAATTTTGTTTTTATTTTATTATTTTATTAAATAATTTTTGTTGTTAGGGTCCTAAAGTTGTAGTTGCACCACTGGTAGAACTATTCAGCATATTCAATATCTACCTCATAAATATATAGAAAACTGTTTGTTCTGAAAGGCGATCACGAGCCGTGATATGTTGAGCTCGTGTAAACAAAGCAGTCAGTGGAAATGTGTTATGTATATTTATGTGTGTGGTGAGAAAAAAAAACCGTATACCTACACTTATAGGTACCTGTTTGTAGAAGGAATAACCAAATACAACAACCCACCTACGGTATCTGTTATATGAGTTTGAAATATTAAAAATGTAAATAAGTTGAGAGTGAATAAGAAAAATGTAAGTGCTTCTGTTGAGCGAACCCAGAGAAGTGGCGCATGTGGTGCTGTTATACGTTCCACAATTTCTCACTTTAGCGACTTCCACTTGATCGCCACAATAACTCAAAATAAAGCGCCTATGTATGGGTAACACACGTAATCAATACTATGCACTTAAGTGGCAACGCTGTTTAAGTGATGTTATTCGCGATAGAACTGGTAGTTGTACCTACTACGTCACCTTGATCGTTTATTTTATGTATACTAAATATTCAATGTATTACACTTAATAACACCCCTCCCGTGGTTGAAGAATAAATATATGCTTCAACCCTCTTTAATAATTTATTTTTTTTATACTTGATATAATTATATTATCATAACATCGCGTTTTTTTATTTTACAGCCCAGAAAATGATGGCTACATAGATAATAGTACCTTACTCATGGCTATGTTTATATTTATGATAATCTTATTGCTGTTTCCGAGTGTTGGTGATTATTTATATTTTTATTGGCTTCATGTAACTTTTGACATCTTTTTCAAAATATATGGTTTTATAGCGGCGTTTAATGTAATATATAAACAATCTAAATTTATAATGAAATATTACTTAAACACTGGTAATGGTACAACAGTTTGGTTAAAAATGGTAAGAATTTATTTAAAAATATATTTTTTGATATTAATCCAGTCTTTAATTTTAGGTTTAAGCTCCGGTCCAATTCCTGGCCTAAATGAAGTAGAATCTTCGAAACAACTGTAGAATGCATTAATTCAATATCAATTCAGATTCACATTCAGCTGCAATCGTAAAAAAAATTCTTTAAAATAATGCAATGAAATTGCAGTAGTTAATATGTAGTTATTATTAAACTAAATAATAAATTAAAGTTCTAACGAATTAATAGTTTACTTCAATGTTTTTTAACATTTTATCCACACATACATTGCTTGATTATAAATTGACTGAATACATTTATCTTGAAAAATATTAGTTAATTTTATTGTAAACTACTGTACCTATACTCGTAGAATAACAATACAAGGTAGGGGAATGTTTTATAATAAGTACTTAGGATAAATAATAAATAATATTATAATTTTAATACTTTAATTACTAATGTTTAGTTTGATTTATTTAATCTTAATGTAATATTTTTTTATAATGATTACTTTCTCTTTTATACAATCAAACAATAGTTTTCTTTTAGACGATAGTCACGATTAGTAGATAAAATATAACTAAAGCCAAGAGAATGATTTAAAATTAAATAATAAAAAGTTTGAATATTGTGGAATATTATTATAATCAGTTTCGGTTATATATTTTGATAACAACAATATCATTTTCTTCTAATCATGTCAGTCAATATTACAGACTAAGTAACAGAGTAGCTGTAGATTATAATATTATAACTATAGACTTCTAATATTGATGTACAGATGTTTCATTATGGATATTATAATATTGATATCAATAGCCGTGCTGCGAAGCAATGAACTGGTAGTGAATGAGTATTGGGTTAACGGGGTTGTGGTACTGAATACTGATCATTAGGGCCCGGAACTTGATGACCTAAAAAAACATGAACAAATGCACGAAAAAAATGCATACAATTGTTAAAAATGACTTTGCAAATGTATTTAAACTGTAAAAATTAGAGGAGGTTAAATTAAAAAAAATTTACAGGAAAATACAAAATATAATAAAATAATACATATTATGGCAATATTTTCTTATCATTAAATGAAAACACAAATAAAATATGACAGGTTTGTGATAGGATAATATTATGAACCGATTAGTACTGGCCTATGCGGCGCAGTAGTAGTCGTCACTAGCTAAATATAAACATATATTCATTATTATATTCTTTGTTATCTATAGGTTAAACATATCTTATAATTCCGTTCAACATTTCGGCGATTTTAGTTTTATATTTTTTTTTTTTTTTAAATTTGAATTTAAGTAATTAATATAACATATTTAAATAGAACTATAGCTCAAACTTAAAATGCTTTAACAAAAATATTGCACCTACAATACCTACAAAAAGTAGAAAAATGTATAGAATGTACTAAAATAGCTAAAAAATAATGGATCCAATCTATACCCTACCGTACAGCCTACGAAAAGCATAAATAATAAATACATGAATAGAGCATTTGACCATATCAAGAGATAATTATTACAAAAATGTATACGCCACATATGTAATATATATAACTATACAATATACTATAAAAAAAAAACTGAAGAAAAACGGAAAATGTACAAATAATGTAGGTATTACTAAAAAACTATTACGGCCTTCTTTTCTTTCCTATGAACAAATTTTCTACCAGCAATTTTGTTTCGTTTTACAATGATAACAATTTTTCTAAAAATAAATCTGACTAGTAAGGTACTTTAAGGTAGTCATTTTTTGATTTTCCCAGAAGTTTTCTTAATAAATAAGACGAGTTTTTTTCAATAATAATTAATAAATTTATTTATTATATCTTGTTTAATAATAAAAATACTAAAGTATTCATGTCAATGCTTTGGTAATCTGATGTTTTTTTCAATGTTTTTCAAGCTAAAAAAACATTCAGATTCAATACATGTATGCAAAACGTTTAGCAGAATATAAAAATATTGAAGAGATTATTATGAATATTTGAATAAAATAACATTGTTCTAATTTACTTACAGAGAGCATAAATTATTTTTAAAAGTCACAAGATAATTTATTTTATTTAAATAGTATATAAAGTGTAGTGTAAGCATTATAACTGTATTTATAATAATGTATAAACACTTGTTTCTTATGACAACATAATAATTTTAAAATATATTACCAAATAATGTTTTATTAAAACATACACCAGACAAACAAAAAATAAATGAATATCTCTTTTGTTAAAAATGAAGTTGGGATAAGTAAATTAAATTCATTTAAAATAAGATTAAATAATTAAAATAATTTTCTTAAGAGTACAATAATATTTTAAAATTAGATTACAAAGAAAAAAAAATAAGTGATTGTTGGTTTTATACTATGGTTTAGTTATTGACTTAAAAATAAGTGTATTCTCCAGACCAGGTTGTTGATTTAATTTTAAACTGGGCCTTTAGTTAAACGAATTAGTTAATGGGACAAAAATAATATGTAGAGAAATTTCTGTTTCTTTAATCATCAATTTTAATAGATAGTGAAAAGAAAACTCACTAGTTTAATATTAGTTAAGGTAATATTATTAAATCATTTTTTTTTTTAATCAAATTCGTTTTTACTATATGATATGGTATGTTAATATTGATATTTAAAATAATAAAACCAGCTTATTTTGGAGAAATAAACACAACATGTACACTTATAAAAGAGGAAGATTTAAGTATACTAATTTATGAAGAAGAGATAGCTGACTGATGGAAAAAATATGTAGAATCCCTATATGAAGACAATAATCTAAATTTATTAATCCAAAGGCAATAAAATGAAGACTCATATGAAAATACAACAACTTACAACTTTAAAAATAATAATAATATATTTGCAACAATAATATACAATAGGTACATTTTAGGTTCATTTAATTTTTACAATAAGGCAGCACTCCCTAAAAGATGGGCTTGTACTGAGGAAGTCATTCTTATCAATTTCCAAAATACGTAAAACTGGTCAAATAAACAAAAATTGTCAATTGTATAATTATATAATAATAATAAAAGAAAAATCTAAATATAACTTACAATAATCTAGACTTATATACAAACTAAAATTTAAATACTGGACAGATCTAGGTGTTTCACATATAATTTAAACAACTCAAAACTTTTAAAATGATCAATATTAATATTTAATAACAATATAATCTTAATCCAGTGCCTAAAACACTATTTTATCAAATTCTTTTTTATATGTAGTAAATTTATATTAATATTCTACAACTATTAAAACTTTGTTAAGATCGAAATTTGAATATGCATTAAGAATCATGAAAACAAATAAAGCACTTCTACCAGACATCATAAATACAAAACTACTTCAACATTTGGAACAAAAATAATAGAAGAGTTATTATAAATTAATATGTACGACATAAAAACCATTATTATGGGTTTTGTATAGAAAAAATTAATTCTAGGAGGCCAAATTATTATTATATCTTATTTGAATTTGTGTGCATGGAGCGAAAGAGGCATACTTATCTTAATATAACTTTGTATACTTTCTCATTAAGGAAATGGCAATAATAAGATTGTACTATTTTTTTTTACTCCTAGTGTTAAAATAAGATTAATAATAATTACTTCAAATTTAATAAATATTGAAAGAGATTGTTTATTAAAAGTTGAAGGTAATATAATTGAATTAAAATCTGGAAAATATACTATAGATGAATGAAATAAAATAGTTAAACCATTAATAATTTCTATAGAAAGGGATAAAATTTATATCAAATCTAATGGTTTTTTTTTAAATTAGATGAAAAATTAAATAAATATTTATGTTTTGATCTTGAAAAAGATATGTATTTTAACACAATGAAAAATACTACAGTTGGATATTTTCCATTAAAATGTATATCACCTAATCCGGAAGATGAGATTATACAAACTAATCAAGAATGTAAATGTATTATTAGGAGAAATTGATATATACCAACGAATATATTAACAGTTGGATTGTATTCATTAAAATCTCCTGAAAAAATATTTAATAGTTACCCAGAAAAATGTCTAAATAAAACCACAAAAGTTACACTTGAAAGCAGATTATTAAAAATATCATCTCCATTTAATATTGGGTTTGATTCATATTTATCTGATTGTCTAGGTTTTGAATATAAAATAAATGATAATGATGTTACAAAACAGAGATTAATTATCTCTATAATAAATTAGAACAATTTTTATTTGAACATTAAAAATTGAACTTAATTGAAATTAATCATTGAACTTTAATTGTTAAATATTGAATAACAAATATCAGTTAATGAAAATTTATTGAAAAAATGTATTTTTCTATAATAAATGAGAACACTTGAAAAAATTCAAAACAATCTTAAGAAAAAAATTAAAAGTGGATTAAACTTAAAAAAAATCTAATAAAATACAAAAAAACAGTACATTTTGAAGAGAAAAAAGAAGCAACAGAAGCAGAGATTAATAAAACAATTAATCTTAAAAAAAATTGCAAAAAATATATAGAAATGAAGCAGAGAAAAAACTAAATGATGAAATAGAAAAACAAAAAGCATTTGAACCTATTACCAAAGGATTAAAAAATGTCGAAGAAGCTGTCAGAAAAACCAATGATGATATTAAATCATTTTTAATTTCTGTGAAACCGTTAACACAAGCATCAGATTTTATTACCAAACAACAAAACATGATACGAGATAGACTTAGAAACAGAATTTTAAAATTCAATTATTAATAACAAAATAGGAGTTATTGCAGCTCATTATTTACCCAAATTATCATATGATAGATTTTGGATTTTTCATATATGTGAAACAAATATGCATATGATAGGTAAAAATGAGATTTATATTAAAGATAACAATATTATTTTAAACGAACAAACTTATAAAGGAACACAAAGATTATGGAGACTATTAACATACAATAAAAATATACATAAAACATCATATTCTGATGATGATATTAAGAATTATGAAAAGATATTAATAGAAACAGAATCATTATATCATAATAATAATAAAAATACAAAAAAAGTAAAATCAAGAGGATAAACATATTAATCTGATCCGTCCTATTTGGAATAAAATTAGTGAAAATTAAAAATTAAAAACTTTTCATGAAGGATCTGGTTTAATAAATTATAGAGAAAACCCAATTCAATATAAATGCATTGATAATTTAAACGAATTGTTAAAAAGATTATATTCTATTGCTGCAGAAGAAGGAGCTGGTAATAATAATTTCCATTATGAAAAATTAAGTAATATAAATTTTATAAGAAAAGAAATGGTAAAATTAGTTGATGCACCCCATGGTATAGAATATCTCATTTCTTTTATTGCAAGTTTACCAAATTAAGTGATCACTGGATCTGGACTTGTTAATAATTTCTTGAATAGTAAATTTATGCCAAAAATTCACTGGCCTGGTTATAATTATCTCAGACCCTTTACAAAATCTAAGAAACTAATAAACAAACTAGATGAAGCTGTGATGGAAAATGATTTTTACTATGAAAAACATAAGGATACCAAATCTAAATAAATAAATAAAGCTGATTTAATTTTAGAAAAAATTGCAAAATATACATACAAAAGTCTTGAAACACCTTTAGGGGGAAAAAACAGCAGTTTTGCAATTAATAATATAATGAAAGTAAAAAGAAAACTAGGAATGGGTCTTATTTAAATAAAAAAATTAATATTTTGTCCAAAGTGATTAGTAAGAGATTTTGGATTCTACTGGATCGATTGACTTTAAATTTTATATATACCTTTGAAATATAATCTTTGTTAACATATAGAAATTTGGTAAAATTCTAAAAGATAGAAATAAATTTATTAATAATACAAATTGTAATGTTATTGTTATATTATTGGTAGATGTATAATATTTTAATAACACGAAAAATATTATTAGGTATATACGATTTGACCTAATTAATCATTATCAATTTGTATGCAATGTTTATCTATTTCACTCGTGATGCGTAATATAATATATTATTTATTTTTGTTAAAGAGAACTGTTCCTAGTGCAATTTTTATATAACATTTGTTTTTATTATTATTTTTAAATATTTTTTTAATTTATTTTTTTTAATATTATTTTTATTTTATGCTTGTAAACAAAGAACAGGAATTAAAAACAATGTAAGTAGAGATCAGAAATTAGTTTTTAAACTGAGAATTAAGAGACAGCGCCAGAACAAACATTATTATACATAATATTATAATTTCATTAGAAAATTAGTTTTAAAGTGAGAAAAAAACAGTAAATAAAATAATATGAACAGAGATCAAAAATTAGTTTTTAAAGTGAATAAAAAACAGAAAATAAAAACAATGGGATATATAGTTCAGAAATTAATTTTTAAAGTGAGAATTAAGATATTGCGCCAGAAATGGCATATTCATACTACTTACGTCTTAAATTTAGAAAATATAGAAAAACTTTATTTCATTAATTATTATTTATTACATTATTGTTATTGTTTATACAAATATGATATATTATTTGATTAGACACAGTAACACACAAAAATAACAAAACATATCTGTTTAATTAGTAGGATTTTTGACACTGAATTTCTACGCATAGTTTATTGAAATTTGGAGAATAATCTGTAGTTTTCAACTTCAAACAAGTATCAAGGCTGATATCATTCAGTTGGCTTCTTAATTTATTCTTAATAAAGTTCATATTTGAAAATGATTGCTCACAAATATAAGTGAATCCAAAAATAGTCAAAATTCCGAAAGCAACCATTTTTAATTGGCTGAAGATTTCGGGAAGACTGATTCTAACAGCTCTATCATGAACAGTAGTTGCTGACAACGGAATATCTTTTATTTTATGGATTATTTCTGTTTTATTTATTAATTCAGAAAAGAGAAAAAAATTCTGAAATACCTATGAAAAATTGTTTAATATATTTTCCATCAGTGAAGGGTTTCCAAATTTCATAATTTCGTGGGATACAACATAACTAGCTGCAGGCAAATTAGTCGCTGACTGCAACCAGTTATTGAATTTAGATGTCGATTGTTGAGATTTACAAATCAATTCGGCCACTTATGTTTTTCTTTCATTTCCAGTTGGGTACGTCTTACCAAAAGAATCATGCTTGGATAATAAATGACGTTTAATACTCAATTTTTTATTGTTTTTAAAGTTTTCGTCATAAATGAGACATTTTGGTTGTCCCGTGGTGTTCTGGACAAATGCAAAAGTATCAGTCCACTCACTTCTAAATCCTCTTCTTTTCTTCTTCAATTTTACGCTTTTTGTTTGTAGACATTTCGTTCACAATATTCCAAAAAAATAACAAACTACGTCACACCGATTAAATTGACCTGGCAAAGACCGTGCTCACGTATCGACTAATATAATTTTGTATTATTATTATATAATCCCAAATCGTAATATTCTACAGAATAATGTTAAGCCGGTCCCACACGACTCGTGTAATCGGCGTTTATTCGTCAATCATATTACTTTGCGAGTCGTGTGTGAGGTATTTAGTCGTAAAGCACGACGATTATTTTTACTCGCCGAGTCACTCGCGGTTTCCCGTCGGTGTCGAATACAACACGAGTGACTCGTACTGATAAGAAATTTAATCTTGGATTTTCCCCCAAAATAGACTATTATTTATTGTTAATATCAATAGTATTAAGCTGCGTCCACACCTAACAAACTATTAGAAAAACGTTTGTCGACGTTCGACGAATGTTTTTCGAACGTTTGTTTGATGTAGACGTGTTTCCAAACATATTTGTTTGTCAATAATCCAAACAAAAATGTTCGCTCACTAAGCGAACATTTTGAGTGTTTGTTTGTACGTGTATTCCGATATACCTTTATTGAAGTAATTATAAACTCAGTTATATATATTATTATTATTTATTTCAGTTATATATAATATTATAAATAATTGAAATAGTTTTAAATGATAATATTTGTTAAAAATATATTTAAATATGATAAATAATAATATGATATACAATACGTATCAATACGTGACAGACTATAAACAATACACTGTTTTATTTTTGTAAATTATGTGTAGTTTTCCAGACTATATAGAGAGATTATGTCATAATATCGCGTTTATAAATATATACTTTGTTATAACTAATGTATAATTTCTATAAATTCAAATCAGTCTGCGCGTGGCACCACACACGGAGAGTGGTATTTTTTATTTATATAGTTTTAAATAATATACCGACTACCAAGTCACAAAATGAGTGAAAAGTGATCCAAAGAAAAAATAATTAATTTCGAATTATATGAGTACGCCAGTTGCTTATGGGACACAAAATCTTCCGATTATAAAAATAAAATAAAAAGTTTCATTTTTTTTTTTTTTTATGTTTTATTACGCATTATAACGAACGCAGCAGCGCCAACGTAGNACATTTTCACGACTGTTGGCAAACATATAGCGAACAAATAAATTATGAACAAACGTTTGTTGTCATGATAAAATGTTTCACAAACGTTCGATAAATGTTCGGCAAACGTTTGACAAACAATGTTTCCCCAAACGTTTGTTAGGTGTGAACACACCTTTAGAAGTCACACGTCATGCCCACACGAATCGTGCACTTTGCAATCGGCGTCAATATTTAAATAATCTTTAATTATTATTATTTAATTTTTAGCAAAGTATATACGATTGACAATTAATCGGCGAGCACACGAGTTGTGTAGGAGCAACATAATTACAAACATCGTACCTTGTACAAACTAGGCAAGTACACTTGCCGAGCATACGCTCGCAAAGCAAAGTCGAGTGGGACCGGCTTTAAGGAGCCTCAGGTTCCCGACCCCTGCTGTAGGTAATACGGTCTATATTACTATGCGGACGACCTTGAAATTGATAACACAAACCATTCTATTGTACCACGGTTAATGATAATTATTTTTTTTTCTCGGTCCAATTTCTTAATCTTACTTCACTATTTAAATTGTTTTGTTTGTGATGTGCGTATACGAAGAAAACGACGACCGTCTATGCACCCAACAATTTAATTTTCCTCTAATTGGTACAAGCATTACTAGTACCTAATTTATCATTAGTATCGATATAAATCAATAATAATTGAAAAATTATAATTAAACTAATTACAGTGGCGTTGATTTTATAATGTCATACGATATTCCAAAAACTGTTACAAAAATTTACTTTCACACCGGTAATGTAATGAACGCCAAAGAATTGACACAAAAAGCAGGACAAAATGCAACTCAAGAGGTAAGATTTTTTTTTTTTAAGATAGCTAGGTATATTATATTGTGATATACTTATTATGTCTGAATTTTAGGTAATTGAATGTTTGAATATTTATCTTTCAAAGTGTCCATCACCATTTGCATTGAATGAAAAAATTATACATTTAAAATGCGATGAGTTTTACAACAACGATAATGAAAAAGAACACAAAGCTCTTAGAACAAGTGTTAAAATTTTTCTTACCTCAAAAGCGGTTGATGTTTTAAAAGATTCATTAAAAAAACGTAGGACTTATTATCTTTCTTGTAGTAGTTATTTAATTTGTTTATAGAGTAGATATTGGTTTATTATTTTTAGTCTTTCAAGAATTAAATGAAGAAGTGATTGATTCCGTAATTTTAGCATTTAATCATGATAAAGATACATTACTAACCGATTTGTTAACTCTTTGGTCTGTACTGGAGGGATACGTCAACAAACAAAAAATCACACGCCTAGGTGTAAGTGATATTGACACAGATTTGTTCATCAGTCTGTATCAAAACTCAATTGTAAGTTAATTTCATATTGTATTAAATATTAAAATATTAATTGAATTTTTGGTTTTAGATTAAGCCAACAATTGCTCAAATAAATTTGAACTCATGCTGTGTAGTACCAGAAGCACTTCAACAGTTTACTACAAATAATGAAATTCAGCTATTAGCTCACAATGATCCTAAAGGTAACCCACATTAATTATTGCTATGCACAGATCAAAGCTTTACATAATATTATATAAAATTTAATCACTAATATGTTCAATAGTTTATAATAAAAAAATCAAGTTTATAATAAAATAAAGTACCTTGGTAAAGCATAATAGAGATTTCAGTAGTTTGATTTACCTATCCAAATAAACAATTTTAAAACTGTTAAAATATTATAGATAATGCATGAAATGTATAAAATAATCTAATGTAATATAATCTATAACTGTATAGATAACATTAAGAACATCATTACATATTATATTTTGACCATTCTATAAATTATGAATCAAGTTTTTTTAATTTAACAATTTGAATATCTTTTATTTAGTTATAATTTCACAAATATTATTTTTACATGCGTTATTATTTTAATTATTTTTTTTACTAATATATTATTGGTGAACAAATTGTACAGGTACTTGTACAAGTTTTCAGTACATTGAAAACTATTTTGTATAATATTATAGTATTTAATATACATGTGTATTTAATTACTAATTAATATTTACTTATTCATAAGTTGGCTTTTTTTCCAGACATTTTACTCCAATCTTGCCTAGTCGACATTTTTAAAAACAAAACCGAACTAAAACAAAAAATACCCAAACTTGAATGGATGATTAGATACCTTACTCATGTTGTGAGTAGAGCAATTATAGCAAGTAAAGGATACATTGTGTGCCTTAGAAATTCATAGAATATGAGTACCTACTTTATGACAAATCATAATGATGTACAATTTATTTTTAATAAAATGGCAAATTAAAGTTTTTTCTTCAGACAAACTAAAATTTGTTAACAATTTTAGCAACCTTTAATATATTGCTATTATATTATTTTTGTATTCTTGTGAAAAAAGCATTTTTAAGTGAATAATTATTACATTATTATTTCTTCAACTGTGTAGAAATAATTGTGATGATTACATTTACCTTTTTAATCTATCTTATAGTTTATATTTTTATAAACCAGTGTTTGGTATATTTTATAACAGGAAAAGGATATATTTTTAAATTTAATTTTGTATTGGATTATTTATTTATTAAAATAAAATAAATTAACTAATTTGTAAGAAAACACTAACATTAACAAAAGCATTTTTTCAATTATTTAAAAAAATACATATATTGAAGTGAATTCAAACTTTTGGATTTATTACTTTTAGCATTTTATTTGATAATAAAAAAAGTTGAGTACAATTTTCACATTGAATTACAATATTTAAAAACATTTTTTACTAAACTTCCCTCAGGATCAGTGGCTCTGAAACCAGCAGTTAAGGGTGGTCACCCTTCTTTTGATGGGTGGGTAGTGTTGGATCCATGATGAGTACCTAAGCTATATTTTTTATTGAATTGGTACATGTGGAATATTAATTAACAGTGTTATTTGGGAGTTTGTTTTGTAAATGAGGGTGATAGTCTATACAACTTTTTACCTGCCCATCTTCTTTCGAACGTGGTGCCACATTTTGTTAATAATGATTTATCATTACCAACAGAAACCTATAAATCAAATCATTTTTAACTTAAACTTAATTTTTCTGTGGGTGTAAAATTTTATTCTTGCCTCCACAGTTAAAACTATTATATTTTACACAGGGTGATTCACTCAACTGGAAACACTCATTATCGCGGAAAATATTAACTTTTTTCAAAATTTCTTTTTTTGAAAACTTAAAAAATAAATAGCTCTAAAATGTATCATTTTTTTGTACCCCTTATTTTTGAGGATGAAATGACTACCTACTTTTGATTTTCAAATGGCAACCTATTTTGAAAATGCCTTAAATAAATAGAATATTATTTAAAATAAATGTTGGTGTTGGAAATTTTGATATTTCGTTTACGAGATATTTCACTTTTAAGTTTTGGGCGGGGGGAGTAGCGGTGTAAAGTTAAAATTTCGCGCGAATTTCGGTACACCGACTGTTTTATGTACTACACAGAGAGTTTTAAATGATAACAGTGTAAAAGCTCCTAAGGTATAAAAGTTATAACTAATAATTTCCACTACATACAAACAATGACGACATCTGATTAGTCTGACTTGCGATTAGATAAAACCTTGATTCAAGATACTATCTTAAGATTAATAGATTATGATGATAACACATTAACTACTGACACGCTGAAACCATATTTTATCAAAGACTGCGGTTGCATATGGTCGTAATTACGAACTATGAACTATATAGAACTATAGAACTTATAGAACTATATCCGTGATTGGAACGGTTACTTTAATACTGTATTCTACTTATGACATAATAAAACTATATAGTAAATAAATAAATAAATTTAAAAAATGATATAAAAATAAATAAATTAATGAATTTGTTTATAACCTAACCTAACATGAACATATTGTTTGCTTTAACGGAGGAACCAGGAAATATTTTATTAATTTCAGACAACTATACTTGGATAACCTTATTATATTTTATTTTTTAACCAATTGTATTTTGTAACTTTCACACACACTGGTCTTTTAATAACTAACGTAACTTATCAAATAAAACATAATCTCTTGTCAATTTACATAACAACAATAACAACCTTATCATCACATCCCTCTCTTTTAAATTTAATCCCTCCATAGGACCATACAAACCCATTAATAATACGATATTACAAACTAATAATATAGACTATATTATATAGTACTAATAACTTAAGTATAATAAATCAACTTACAAATTTAATAATTTGCTAGTATACATAACATATTATATTACAATTTTTGTAACTAGTACAACTAATTTTGTTATTTCAATACATAATCATTAAGCTTTTAGGTAATTTAGTAATCCTTTCAGACCTTTCCTTGTTGTTTTGCTGTTGTCCACTCTCCTTTTTCTCTAATCCAACCTTTTCACCTTCAGTTACTTGTCCTGGTATTTGCCTGGTAATTAGCCTAGAGTATTATGATAAGTGTATAATATGACCGGTTTCGAATTAAAAATTCATCATCAGGACGTATATCACAGTTAAAATCTAATAAAACGCGACTGAATATAAAAAATTAAATGAAGAAATATGTAGAAGAAAAAATTATGAAACACAAATTGAACATAGAAATAATTTATGTTAAAAGGAGAGATTATTTTAAATAGGTCATTACATAGATAAATTATTATTATTAGACATAGATATGTTAAAAAATATAAATTATTTGGTTATTATTCTAGAAATTCGTTTGGTTATATATAGTAAGTATAGAATTTCCCCTTAAAAATAATACCAGTATAAAATTTAAAAAATCGTTGGTGATATCAATTCAAAATGTTTGTTTTACTAGTGTAGACAGTATAGTTTTTCTGACCCGGCTCACGACATATTTAATACCGGTATAATCCCCTCTTTTCTTAATGTTCCCATCACCGATCATTTTCCTGTTTCATATTCTCATCAAATTATCATTAGGTAATTTAATGTATATCTGTAAGCAACTATAAATCATTACTAACGAAAACACGATTCTGAGCGCAGTTCAATTGATAGTGATGCTTTGTTATTAATATATATGTCATTTTGTGGTAAAATAATTAAACAGACATTATATATGTCCTTTAATAATATTTGTTTAATATTGTATCAATTTTTCTGTTTGTCCTGCGTTTTTTTCGGTTTTCCCATGTTTTTTCCTAGTTTTTCAAATTTGCTAGGAAAACTTTTAAGAAAATCGAATGGCTTCACTAAAGTACCTCCCCAGTCAGGTTTCCTTTTAGAAGAAATTATATCATTGGAAATCGGAGCAAAATTGCTGGTTTAAAAGTTGTCAACAGAAAAAAATCGTAATATTTTACTAATGTATTTTATACATTTCCTTTCACTTCTCCGTTTTTCACAATTTTTCTCATTTATTGGGAAAACTCCTGAGAAAATTAAAAAATGATCTTCCCAAGTTACCAATGAGATAAAATTACCTTTCAGAAAATAAGTTACACTTGATACATCGGAGCAAAATTTTTGGTAGAAAAGTTTTCACAACAAATCGAGGGGTATTTTGCTATTAAAATCGTTCGAACGAGCAATAGCAAGGTCTCTACGTAAAATGCATTTGTTTTTTCCCTATTTAGGTAAAACGGGAAAAAAATACAAAACATTTTTATTCAAAACACGGATTCAGATTCGGGGATGAAAATAGGTATGTATAACCATTCAGCCACGACAAAAATATTTTAATGAAGATAATTATTCAGTTATTTAACATAACATATAATATCAGAACTTCAAAAAGCTATAATTTCGAAAATTAGTTAGTCCGCTCATTTCTGACTTCACTATCGTTCTTAAATGGCAATATACATATGTTTGAAAAATTGAAAAATTAGATTTGTTCCACGTAATTTTTTACTCGGACAATTTTTGTCAAAATTTAATATCAACATTCCTTTATAAAAAACAAATACGACATTAAACTTATTATTTTTTTTTTTTTTTACCACAATGTAAGACTCTTAATGAACTTCCTGTTAAATTTTCAAGCATTTCTGTTAAGTCTAACAATTTTACCACACAATATCTACCGAATAAAAATTACGTACAAAACTCGCAAAATTAAAATGTCTAACTCCCCTTAGTTATGTTTACTTCAAATATTTAGTCAATAGCTCTATCAATAGTATATGATCTAAATTTTGTATCAACTACAAGTCAATGAATTTCTTGATATACAGGTAAAAAACAATTCATTATATTGGTATATAATAAAAGATACCGGTATAATCAAACAAATTTCTTAATATATTATCTAAAATATATTAACATAGCGACACATTCATTCATTTATTTTTCATACACATTTTTTTATTTATAGATTTATTACAAGTATTAACCATTTTAATAATTTTGTTTTATTTTATTATTTTATTCCAATAAATCTATTGTATATATCTGTAATCTGTGTATCAATTATAACTGGTGACGAGACTTGGGTATATGGCTACGATCCAGAAACAAAGGTACAATCTTCATAGTGAAAGACACCTAATTCACCACGACCCGAAAAAGCTCGTCAAGTTCGGAGTCAAGTGAAGGTTATGTTGACTGTTTTTTCGACTACCAAGGTGTTGTTCATCATGAGTATGCTCCAAAAGGATAGACCATAACAAAGGAGTACTACATTGATGTTCTTTGCCGTTTACGAGACGCTGTACGAAGAAAATGACCAGAGTTTAAAGAGTCTGGTAGTTGGAAATTGCATCACGATAATGCACCAGCCCATTCGGCCCATGTTATGCAGCAGTTTTGGCCAAATATGATATTCCAGTTGTTTCTTAACCCCCCTATTAACCAGACCTAGCTCCGTGTGATTTTTTTTTTATTCTCGAAGATAAAAATGGCACTTAAGGGTAATCGTTTTCAAGATGTAGATGGAATACAACAAAATGCGACGGAGCAGCTACGAGGAGTTTCTAAAAATGACTTCCAAAGGTGTTTTCAAAAATGGCAGGAACGTCGGAGAACATGTATAGACTCAGAAGTAGCATATTTTGAAGGAGACGGAATGTAAATAACTGTATCTAATAAATATGTATATTTTTTTTTAACAGTCTCGATACCTTTTGATTAGTCCTCGTATATATGTGAGACATAAGCAATTCTCTTGAACATATCAAAATCATTTATTTATTTTGAATAATTACAAGACCAAATAAGTGAATCAAATTTGAGGTTATATATTCTTACTAATGACTTATATAATGTTATTAAACTCTTTGGTATTTCTATTGATAAAACCCAGCATTTTTATAATTTGTATATTGTCATTCTATGGTTTAATTTTAATGATAAATCACTTTAAAAGTTTACACATAAGTCTTTAATCAAATTTATTCTACCAAGAGAATAGTTATTAATTTGATACTGAAACATTTTATTGGAATTTTACAATGTTTAAAAAATATTACTTATTCGTTAATCTTTGGAGGAAGAAGATTTTATTCACTCCATTGAAAAAAATAATAGGTAGTATTATAATACTAAATTAGTACAGTTAATAAAATAGTAAATTGTAGAATGGAAACTAAATGTTGTAGCTACACTTGATATTAAATAAATACAAACAAATTAAAATAAGTCATAATACGTGAATTTTTTATTGGTACTCGTGGATAAAATTGTTAAATTAAACAGAATGTATCACCGAACTCCACTTGTTTTTTCGTTAGCAATGGTTTATCGTTTCCTACAGATATGCATCAAATTTCCCCTCTACTGCCTTCCCAACTTTTCACCCATAATAGTGGCCCACCCACGTGCGAATTATGTTCATCTTTTTATTATTTTAATTTCCAATTTATTCCAAACGCTGTCTGCAGTTCTTAACAATATGTTTCCAATTTGACACATTTTCAAACCATGTAATTCCTAATAATATATATTTCAAATTTATTAATGTTTAAAATTATGTAGATACTAAATAATATAGTTTCTGTTCATTCAATTTCTCAGATGTATTTGTTCCTGACAATGCATTTTCCAAACAAAGGCAGTTCCTATTTTTTTTTTTCTATATTATATAATTCCAAATAATAAATATCATTACTACTTCAATTCTAATATTGTCTGTTCGGAATTTCAGATAATATATTTTCTAGGAAAAAAATTTCATGAAATTGATGGCGCTCCGCCATCGCCGCCGACACCCCTAGTGTTCAATATAATCAATTGATCAATATTTATTACCACTGTGTGTCTGTGTATTTCCATTTTACTCAAAATAATGGCAACAATCTACCTATTCGACTCAACTCGCAAGTAATTTTGCAATTTGAAATCATGTGGTTATAATATTATAATGATTTATTATCAATAATCCAAATATCTCAGATAATGACGTGGAATCAAGGTAATTTAATATTTTAATGTATATATGTAAGCAACGATTAATCATTACTAACGAAAAAACTATTCTGAGCGAAGTTCGGTTGATAATGTTGCTTTGTCAACAATGTACGTATATGTCATATTATGATAAAATAATTACATATTTACTTTAATAATATTTGTTTAATATTTTACCTATTTTCCCGTTTGTTGAAAATACTCCTGGGAAAATCAAAAAATGACCACTCCAGTCAGATTTATTCTCAGAAAAAGTGCTACAGAAGTTGTCCACAGTAAAAATAAAATTAAAATAATAAACATCTTTGTAAAACAAATACAATATAAAAATAAATACAAATTTTATTTATTTATTTAGTTGTTTATTTTTTTTTATTTGAACACTTTTACTATCCAAAAGCTTATTCTGATTATCAAGTATAGCATCTTTTCTGAGTGGTAAATTAAAGTGGTCATTTTTTGAAATTCTTATTTATATTCGAGATAATGGGGAAAACCTGGTTCTTTAGGTTAAAAAAGATTGATAGATTAAAAATGAGGTTGTCATTGGCAATCGTTTTTATTTAATTTTTGTTATTATTAAGTTTTTATTATTTTAATATTTTTTAAACTATCATTGTTGTCATAGAAATGCATATATGTTGTAATAATTTTACTATAATACGTTTTATATATTATTTACAAAGCAACACTATCAACTAAACTGGGCTCAGAATCATTTTTTCGTTAGCAATGGTTTATCGTTGCTTACATGTATACAGTAAGTTACCTATAACAATGGCTGCACCCATCTCCATTATCCTAGGACGTCTTTTCCACTTGGACCGTAACATAAAGATACATATAATATATTCAATATGAAATCAATGGTATAGGGTACGAAAGAAAGCGAAAATAGCTCCTGAAAAGGACAACAAAATTCAAAGAATGTTCAACTAGATAATAAATCAAGACGATATGATGGACGATATTTTTGTTGGTATAATATCAAATGATTTAAATGATAATTCAATTTTAACTAGAATTTCTTGATTTTTTTCCGATTACTAAAGGGGTTTAGGTTTTATATATCTTACGTACGCGATTTTCTATATTTCACTAGAATACATAAACGCCTGAACCGAATTAAATGTGTACGTTGTGTCGTAAGAATCGTTAAGTTATCCTGAGTGACATTGGCTAAATTTATGAGGTGGTCGAAAATAATCAAAAACCTACATTATATTACTGTACTACAAAAGACTCAATACCAGACTGGACGGTATTTATACGCAAAAAACTCAATTTATTAATGAATTCACTTTTTGTCATGCAATAAATGCATATTTTTCGATTTATAGTACTTTATTTGAAATATTTTGTCAACATTTCCAATACTTCTAAGAAATTGTCTTCTTTGTTTTAGTTGAAAAAATGCTCTGAATTTTTCACGCCATAAGTATTTACTTAAAAAATAAGGGAATTTTTTTCAAAATGATATTTTTTAAAAATTCACCCACGAGAAGTTATGCATAATATAAACCTATGTAAACAATTTTGTTAGGTTCGTAGTCCTTCTCCCTCACAGAAATCATCATATTACACTTATGAGTCTATCTAATACGTACCTCATTATCACTTTTAAATAAACGTTCGTTTTAAAATTGGTCAGAATAGCAGTTATATGAAATATTTTATTAGGTACTACAAGTACAATTAATTGTATGATATTCAAATTTGTTTACTCTATTATAAAATATAAAATAAATGGTACTACAAAGTAAATTGTTAGTGGTGGCTAAAATGTCAGTTGTTCAGGGAATTAGGCTGCACCTGCAGAATCGCTTATGAAATAGCATTCAATTTAATTTACAACGATAAAATATTATGGACGACTGCAAGTCTGCAGAAGTTTGTATATCTACTTACATTTACACACAAGGGTTAAAGTTCATCATACTTTATGGTCTGTATCTTTTCTTATATTCGTCGTGTGGTTCAATCAGTGGCATACTTAAGTATTTCTATTTGGGAGGAGATATCACAATTTATTTGAAAAATAAGCCGTAGGGTAAATACCTCCATAATAGCAATAGAATGGGGTTCGGAAAAAAAAGTAAGTGAAAAAAAAGCAATATATTTATTATAAATATTACAATATAAAAAGTAATATTATTGGTTAGACTATATAGGACTCGCGTAATTTTGGTTTTAGATCAAAAGCTCTTATTTTAAAACTTAAAGAAGAAAATATTTCGGAGGGCAAGACGTTTTTTAAATGTTACAGTGGTTTTTATTTCTAAACGATATGTTGAGTGTTATATACTTATTTCTGGATTAATAATCAGAATAATTGGAAAAACGCATCGTCTTGTCCTCTGGAATATTGTCCTTTTTTAATTCTATAATAGGTTAATTTATTCTAAAACCAAAATTAAGCGAGCTCCACTCGTTCTGCGTGAGTAGATTTTGTTATATTGTACGTTAGATAGACTGAGCCAGCACATGCGGGCATAGCATCCTCTTAATAAAACTTCTTTTCGAATCATATTTCGTTAGCAATGATTTATATTTCATCGTTACGTACAGACTTGAGTTATAATATAACTATGTAAAAATGTGCATCGGATCGTATTAATTGTATATTACCTTCTCAGCATTCCACCTACAACAGCATAATATCCATGAACAGTAATTGCTCTTTGTTAAAGTTGTACTTCAATACCACTCAGATTTGAATTGAACCGACAAGTTTGCCGGTAATGTATTTGTTTTATGCAATTTTGGGCTGATGTAAATGTGACAATTCTACGGGCTGGTACATTCTCTGGAGCCACTACTCTACTAATAATTTATGTAGGTGCCCATATCAACTACCTCTTTGATACGTAGGTATTACTTAAATTTGTATAGCAACTCGTTTTATTATTGTTAAATAATTTATCTACCTATCTATTTAATTAGGTTTACTGTATTATGCTATTTGTTATGGTATACTTACCTTACTTATAATAATATTATTATTGAGTCAACACTACTCTGTTCTTACTACTTGTATTAATTAGTTAGCCAATTAGATAGGCATTTTATAAAATTGATTTCCTTGAGGATTATTAGGACATAGGTAGGTAGGTATTAGATATTATAGCCAAGTATTTTTTCCATAGTTCCACGCACGTGAGATGAAGTATGTCGAAATATAAAACGTAATAATATTGTACCCATGTAGGTACACATTATAAAAGGAGAGGTAAGTATTATTATTATTCCTAGCTAGGTATACGTAATTCGTTTCCCCCAATTCGAGCGATCCTCGTACCTGACGTGGACGGCGAGTTGTACTTTAGTATCCAAACACGTTTCTCGTAATCTCGTGTGCAAATAATAATAATAGTAATAATAATAATACATACATACTTATTATATTGACTTTTTAGCATAGTATATTATACCACATGCTATACTGCAGCGACAAAAAGACGTGTTGGAAATTGCATACGTACCTATACGTGTCGCAGGTTTACCTACGTACATACGCGTGTTGTATTAATATGCAATGGTATAATAGTTATGACTTGTACGTAGGTATAATATGACTAATAGCAGGTAAAAAATAAAAATCCGAATGACCCATTAACTGCAGCTCTCGTAATATTATTATTCTGCACCGCGTCGTTATTAGTATTATTAATATTAATCCTCTAGGTAACTGCGCCGAACGATGTTCTCGGTTTGACGGTATGCCGCCGCGCAGGGAAAAATCGACGGAAAATAATCGACGATGACACGCGTAGTTCTCCGAAGGTAAATATTTGAATAGAATAATAATAATTAGGTACTACCTATACGAACGGTGTCGGTGCCGTTTTTCTCGATTACCGGCGGTGGCGGCGGCGTAGACGAATTTTCGTCCCGAGGACTGATATATTATTATTGTTATTAAAATACGCACCGTCGGTGTCTGACGTCTGCCAGTTCGCACAACAACCGGTTTTCGGTCGCGTATATTTTAATAATAATATAGTGGCGGCCGTCCGTATAGTTTTCGTAACCGCCGTAACCACAACACGGCCGACGCGCAGCGGCCGTGTACGTTCCGCCGCAACGGGAACACGATGCGCGTGCGTGCGCCGTCATGTGTCGGTCGGCATGGCGTGGCGGTGCGTGGCGGTTCCCTCGTAATTTTATCCGAGACGGCAGCGTACGCGGACGCCCCACTCCGCCGCGCCGAATGTCGCCAGCCGGATGGGTCTTTGTTTACTACGTTACTAACGCACCGAGTGTTGCGAGCTGATAGCCGACAATATCGTTATATTATTATTGTTGTTTTTTTTTTCTTCTTCGCTTTCTTTCTGATAGTATTTTTCCGCGTACTTTACGTCCCGTAGACGGTCGTGGGAGTAGTTGTAGTTGACGGTGCGATAATAAACAACGGAAAAATCGTCCGAACGTTTGGATAAGAGGAAAAAAAAAAACGACAAGCGTGTTGTAAATGTCGTTACAGTTTTGACCGGTGTCGACCGTATTGTGTTCGCGTTCTTACGGCCGTTGTTCAATTATTGTCCCGGCTTTCTCGGTCCGTCGTGCCGTCGTGTTTTGCTTTAACACCGTCCGACCGTTCTCTGCCCGTGGATATGTAGTCTCGACTCGTCGAATCCGTTTCTTCGTCCGAAATACTACCCGCCAGATAGATACGGCGGCTGAAAAACAAACTTGCCGATTCTCGATTTTGTCCGAGCGTTGACGATCCGTCTGTCGGTATAGCCATGAAACGATGTTCTTTTGATACAATATTGTGTCGCCGACAGCGTTCCATCTGCTATAATAGTGGATCCGACCTTCGGTGATGCGATTCCGTGTCTGCTAAAATGAAAGTCACCGTCTGTTTCGGTTCGACTAGAGTCATCGTCCCTTGTGGACGCGGAGAGATATTAGTCAAGGATCTTATTCAACAAGCCATCACCCGATACAAAAAAGCCACTGGAAAGGTGAGTTATACACTCGGTTATACGCTATACCCATATAAACTTAATCAGTGTCGGCCTGGCTCACCAAAGACCTTTGGAGCATTTTTTTAAATGGCCTTATAGATGAAAAAAAAAACCCATGCATATCGGTGCGATATTTGGTCGGAAGTGAGGTTATAGGTACATTGTAATAATATAATAGGGATATGTTCACAAAAGCGATTTTCAGTGACATTTCAATTTTCAGCAATTTGTGTATAAATAATAAATGATTAGGAAGTTTTATTATTTTTTACTCTAGTCTGCCATAATCAACTTAAGTTTAAGCAATACTATGTACCTATAATATATTTAAAATCTCTGCACAAAAGACACCCATTGCTTACTCCAGTAGGTAGTTAAATTACAATATTTTATAAATCTTGGGGCCTGCAGAGGCCTCCATGGGCAGGCCGATACTGAATATTATGAATTATTATAATTTACAAGTATTTAAGTATTCCAAAACATTTTACTACGCCTCTTGATGATGATTCAAATAATTACTCATTCTATAGTGGGTTACTAACGATAAAATATTGTATTTGTCATTATGGTTTATTAAGTTTATTATACCTTAAAATTTGATATGATAAGTTGTGATTATTGCCATACCTATTGTTGTTTCTTTAGTCATTATAACTAACATAGGTAATTAAAAATTATAGTAGTGAGTAGGTATCTCAGAAAGTATCTAATGACGATGTGTAGGTAGGTACCCTGCAATCACCTAATTATTTGATATTTAAATCTACAATATTAAGATTTAATGGGTAGGTAATTAAAAAAATAAATAGTGAGTATCTAGTGATAGCAGGTAGGTATGTAGGTTAGGAATTAATTTAATTGTTTGGTATTTAAAATCTATGATATTAAGAATGAAGATTAAATATCAATGGATTGATGTTGAATTTATTTTTATTGTTATGGTTTTGAATACGAATATGGTTATGGCTCAATTTACTCATTCATATAGCTATGAATGAGCATATAATGTCCTGTTATCAATCTAAAATAACATGAGTAATATGTGTTTAGATTACTACCTATTACTACCTATTGATTGGAATTTGTTTAAATGTATGACCAGTGTTTTATAATTATATTGGTTGGTACCTATGTAAATATTATACTTGTTCTATAGTATATTATATTTATGATTGCATAAATAAGTATCTAGTTTTTTTATTATACATAGTGATAGTACTTTTAATATCATTAGGAGTAAATATGAGTCATTATTTTTGGTAATACCAAATGTATATACATATAAGTATTTCAAGTAGGTATTACACATTTTGTATTAATCTGTTTATGAAATAATATGTTTAAATCAATTTCAGATCTATGAGATGATGCACGATTATTAAAGATCAAAGATAATCATATTTTGTATTTACCTAATTTCTTTATCTAACTTTTTTTTAAATTTATATGAATTTATATGAATCAACACATAGTTCAAGTCAAGATGTTTATATAGCCTGTCACTTATGTATACATGAAATAATTAAAAATAAAAACTCATAAAACTATTGCATTTATTTGTGATTCATTTGAAATAATTTGTTTATCTTTATAATTAATTATTAATGAGGGAACTGATATCATAAATCAGGTTATAAATAATCTAGTAATTAATTATATCAGTTATTGTTACTCATGATAAAGTAACTATCTAAATTAATAATAATAGTTTAATTTTTCACGATGGGACATCCTTAGGTTTTTTCGTTAATTTCAAACACTTTGGTCAGCTATTATCAGGTAACACACTACTGTAGATATTTGAATATTTTTATTTTTTGTATAAATATAGATATACTATTTGTGGGTAATTTGTGAGTAGGTACATAAATATTGTTTGAAATTTATGTTTCTCTATTCTTCGTGATTCTTACATAAGTTCATTTTTTAATAATAATTGTATAACCTACCTATAATTATTAAAAGGGAATATATCTATCCAAAATGAAAAAAATTATAATGATTATGATATCACCTGTATCTGTTGGAAAGTTATTATTTATGAACTGTAAAAAAATAGTGATACATAAAAATATAAAGTACCTACCAATATTTTTAAAACTATAATTGGTCAAAGTTTAATGAAGTCAGATGTATGAAATATTCATGAAGAATATGATCAAGTGATCACCTAAGTGATTACTTTTACTAAGGTTTTTGATAAACACAATGCATTTAAATTATTTTGAAATAATATTTAATAAGTAGGTATCTTGGTACAAACTGCCATCGACAGAACCATTGATGTTAATGATTCTCACCTATTTTATCAATTTAATTTTTAGTTAAAAATGTGTGTACATATCATAATAAACCTAATACATTTCTCTTCTTGTTTAGAGTAAAAAAAAAAATAAAAGCATTACAAATTTCAAATATCCATGCATATTTAAAAAAAACATGTAAATTGAATTTCAAAGTAAATTATTTCTAAAAGGAGTTGTGAATCCTAAAACTTTAATTGTAATATTGAAATATTGGTTGTCAGTGATAACACACAAGTTAAAACTCAAGTTATGATAATAATAAAAAAAAAAAAATGCTTCTTTTTTTCATATAGGTAAACTTAATATTATTATATAGCTAAAACTTAATCATAGGGACACATAACATAATTTTAATAAAAAAAAAAAATGTCCTATGATAATGAGACGGATATAGCCACTGTTATAGGTAATTTAATGTATATCTGTAATCAACGATAAACCATTGGTAACAAAAAAACGATTCGAAGCTAAGTTCAGTTGATAGTGATGCTTTGTTAACAATATATATATATGTTATATATGGTAAAGTAATTAAATAAGAATTATATATTTCATGTTTTTCCCGGATTATTAAATTTGTCAAGAAAACTCTTAGAAAAATCGAAAAATAACCTCCTTAAAGTACTTTCCCTGTCAGATTTACTTTTAGAAAAAGTGCTATCATTGTAAATCGAAGCAAAATTGCTGGTAGAAAAATTGTACACAGAAAGAAAAAGGCTATAATATTTTTTTACTAATACTTACATTTCGTACATTTTCCGTTGTTCTGAAATTTTATCCAGGTTTGTCCTAGTTTTTATGAAAATCGATTGAAAAAACACAAAAATGACTCCCTAAACCATGGAGATAAAATTTCCTGTCAGAAAATAGACTACATTTGATTCATGGGAGCAAGATTTCTGGTAGAAAAATTTGCACAACAAATCGAGGGGTATTTTTTGATTAAAATCCGAACGAGCGATAGCTAGGTTTCTGGGTACACTTAAAATGCATTTGATTTTTCCCTATTTAAGTAAAACGGAAAAAAATTGTAAACAATTTCTTTTCAAAATCCGGATTTGAGAACCCGAGAACCCTAGTATGACAATACGTACTCATGACCATTCGACTACAACAAACGTATAGTAGACAATATAGAGTTATTTAACATAATCATGTATAATCTGTATATCTGCACTATAAAAAATCTATAATTTCGAAACTTAGTCAGTTCGCTCAATTCTGAATTCATCATCCTTCTTAAATCGGCAATACACATATATTTGAAAAAAAAAAAATTGAAAAATTCGATTTTTTCCACATAATTTTTCATTCAAACAATTTTCGTCAAAATTCAATATCGAAATCCCTTTATAAAAACAAATACTTCATTAAACTTATTTTTTTTTTTTACTACAAAGTAAAACTTAATGAACCTATTAAATTTTCTAACATTTCTGTTAAGTCCAACAATTTTACCACTGAGTATTTACCGAATAAAAATTACGTACAACATTCGTAAAATTAAAATGTCTATAATTAGCTTAAAAATAGTTTAAATTTTTTAAAAATTTGACCACGTCCAGAAAAGGCAAATATAAATTTTCTGTCAAAATTTCAAGTCTCTACGAATATTTTAAACTGAATTGCAACAAATAACAAAATTGAAAAATAATAAAAACATTAATTTCGTATATTTCCCGTTTTTCTTACGTTTTATCCTGATTTTTCCCAGATATTATAAAAACCACTTGGAAAATCAACTTCGTACCATGTGCCATTTGGACAACATTTCCTTTCAGAAAACTGATGTCGCGCGTACATATCAGAGCAAAATGTATGGTCGAATTTTCGTACATAGTATAAAAAAAAAAATAAACATCTTAGTAAAACCAATATATTCTTCCCTTCACTCAGAATCTAAAATATGCAAATAAAAATGTATTGTTGAAAAACAACACTAATATAATAATATTGATTGATACGTGATTTTACCACTAAAAGACAAAACCCTTATTGAATTTCATTATTTTATATTATATTATGTTACTAAACAAAACTAAAAAATAAATTGTATTAAATATTTTGTATGGAAAAAATTTGTATAACTTGTGTTAAAATTGTCAATAATTAATATTAAAAATTTCTAAATTTTATATCAAATTGAAAATCAAATTTAATTGTTGGTTATTTATTTATTTAATAGAGATTAAGATAAAAATGAAGATTACAATGCGCAAATTTCTACGTTTTCTTAAATTGTACATTGAATTTACATTTTTTATTTTAATTTATTTTTCAATCAAATTGTATTTACGCCGGAGTTAACATTTATATTTTTAGTTGATTTTAGTTAACCAACCATAAAATACTAGGTCTCGGAAATATATCTGTAGTCGAGATAACAGGATTGTGCGCTCAAGGTAGTCGAGATAACAGGAAAGTACCAAAAAAATAAGCTTACAGATCTAGTTACTGCTGGTTACTGCTTAGCCCCCCGTGTGTGTTAGATTACCAATAATAATTCTGGAAATACCTGAATTAAATGATAAGTAATATGTTATATTCACAGATATATAAAACAATTAGATAGCCGACTTTGGTACTATTCAAGGTTTATAGATAATACTGGTTGCCTCATAGCGCCATATAAATAAAACCAAAATCCCCCATACCGCACTTTATCTAGTGACGTCATTTTAATATACAATTGCCGGGAAATATAACGGCGTGCATAGGAATCGTATACAAATATGAAATAAATAAACAAATAACTTATTATGTGCGGAATTGAAATGTATGCTTCGTCTTACATATTGTTTTTAATTATTTTTATGCATAAGTACATACTTTTTTTAAACTAAATATGCCATTTATGTAGTTTGATAGTAGACAAAATCTTTAGAATGAAATCTGCCGATATGTACTGAGACATATTCATGTTCATTTTAGATTTTGAGTGTAGTGATAGTTAAATTAATTTTAAATTGTCTATATAAATAATTTTTAAATGTATTTCAACAACTAAAAGACTTATTATTTTTCATTATTTATCAAATTTTTATTTAATATTATTATAAATCTAAACATAATATATTTATTATAGTATATTATACATTGTATGCTCTATACACTATATGTGTATTATACTTATATAAATATGAAAGTATAATACAATAATAATAATTTTACATATGCATCGGTGAAATGGTGAAATGAAAAAAAATGAAAAAAAAAAAATCGGCCATAATTTTTTGTTTTACTATAGTTATTTATGCAAGTAGCAATAGCACAATATGACCCCCTTTTGACTTTAATATATTTGATTCCATATTCATACAAAACGTACAAGCAAATAAGATAAAAAAAATGAACATTCAAATAGTTGATAAAGTAAAACAAAACGAAATATGAAAACTTTTACGTTGTACACTATATGGTAATAGTTGTTATTACAATGACGTAATAACGTTACAGTTCTCCCACTGGTAACCTGTATTATCTATAAACCTTGGGTACTATTATTGTCGCCAACAAAATGGCCGCCTTATCTAAGAGGTGAATGTTTTATAGTATTGATAAGAAACGATGTTATAATATCCCATGCCCTGTAAAAGGTTAAATATTATGTACATTGTATACTGTACAGTAAAGTTCCCAAATTACTTATATCAGTTTAATTTGTAAACATTCACCTCTTAGATAACAATTGACAACCATTTTGTTGGCGACTATCTTATTGTTTTACATATCTATGGTGGTATCAAAAAAGAAAAACACTTTAATACTCTGAAGTGCTGGGTATAAGCGACCGGCCGCTATTGAAAATATCCAATTATACTAATTGCATAAATTAACTAAAATAAACCGGTTACTACAAAGAATGAAAAATCTATAAATAAAAATCTACTCCGTCTGTTATCTTTTATACGGTAGTGTATTTATAGGTTCTACTCTCTACACATATTATTATAATAATGACCTAATAATCTACTTACAACCCCCAACCGATGACAACTGTAAAAAATAACATTGATAGTAATAATGTATTTATTTATATTAGCATACAAATAAACATTCAATCAACAACAACAATCAACTTGACTTGTTTAAATATAAAATTAACTCTAGTTAACTAAAAGTTAATTCTTTTGTATTCCTCAAGTTAACAATTAAGTTAATAGTTCAAAAAAAATGAATTTATTAAGTTAAACAATTAAATTAACTTACCTTTAACTTAGTAACTCGTTAATGTCCAGCCTTGCTAACAACCATAGTTCAATAACTCTTCAAATTGTGAGGTTATTAAATTCATGAAACGAAATTAGTGTGTTGGTATGAATCAAATGATGCACCTTTTAAAAAACGCTCCCTCCCTCTAGAAGTAATTTAATTTTGTGTTATTTTTTTTTTAGTTTATCACGTTCATAATCATACTTTACAAAAATGACTGGGAAATACCTACCTTTTTTTAGTTATACTTAGTATTAATTAGTATTTCGTTTACGTAGGTACTAACACTAATGAAGTTTTTGTTTTACTAAAAATAAGTTTCTATACATGTAAACACCATAATATTCATACTATACCTACAGTATTCAAATTAAAATTGATTAAATGATATAGTTAATATTGGTACAATTATCCGAAAGTGTGTATATTTTTTGAGAAAAATAAAAATAAATATAATATATTGTATCTAATGTAAGTTATTAAGTTATAAGTTACGAAAATCAGCAAGGTCGTTTAATGCTGTGTTGATTTTTTCATTTTGGTTTTGCAAAACTGCCCATGCACGTAAATATAATATATATATTAAATAAACTATGTACACACCTACGTATATAATATGCATGTAATGTCTGTTTACAAGGTCTTTTAGAATAATTCGTTCATTCAGCAAATTTCCAACTCTATTTCCAATGAACTTATATAGATGTTGATATACACTTACATTTATAATTGTAAAATTAGGACATTACCTACCCGTGTCATGCTATGTAATTGCCGTTGTTTGCTTTATTTTCGAGTACTGAGGTTAAAAATTCGAGTCTACTTTACTCTAGTGCTAGTCGTTACACTACAATTTTACGTTATTGATTATTTTGTTTACATCACATTTAGAAATATTATAATATTTTTTTCTTTAAATTGTTTTAATGTTGAAAAATAAATTTCATATATACATTACATTTAATATATGTGGGTTTCAAATTGTATAATGTTGAATTTTCATTTTCTTATAAAAAATAATTGTATACCTGGCTAATTATTCTGCTAATTATTATTTATTTCAAGTGAATACATATGTAAGTACAAAAATGTGTATGTATGTACCTTTGAAATTATTGTTATAGGCAGGTTAGGTGAAGTTAAAATCAGTTTTTTTTTGTATTGTGACTATAGGTTTTAGTTCTATGTATAATAATTGTATTGATTTATTTTTCTGATAATTAAATTGTTATTAAAATCATTTATGCTAGTTGAATATCCACGAAATACACTGTTGATTAATTATTATATAGGTATACAGCCTGTCAACAATTATCTTCAAATATTCCGTATTTGAATACCCAATTAAAAACGTATTATTAGTTTAAGCTGCAAAGCTAAGGTACCTATAGACGATTAATCAAATCGTAAGTAAAGTTATAGTCAATAATTGTGGGTAGGTGTTGAATGTTCTCTTTTTATAATAACATTGTGGTTGTATCGACAATCTACTGTTTTTAAATTTATTATGTTACACAATAATTGGGTCAATTGGATATTATATTCAGTTAATCGGATAAACGCCTTTTAATTTATGCGTGTGACCAAAAATCGATACCTAGGTATATAAACAGACTGTCGCATTTTTACCTCATAGATTTTTTTATTTTAATTTTTGATTAATACTTAATATTGTAGATATTAAAATAAATAACTGTAGGTGCGTAATAATATTATACTTAAATAATGAATTTGTACTAAGTGCAAAATGGTTACTCGTATTAATATGGCATCATTGTTTCTATATAACTGTATCCATTAGTGAATTATACAATGTTGAATCGGATATTGAAACCTTACTATTTATTTTTCAAATCGATATTCGTGAATTTATTTTTGTATTTTACCTACATGTGTCACTAGTTCAAAAAACTGTGATCGGAATAAAATTACTATTAGGTAGATACATTTTGTATGTACAAATAAAATTACCTACTTACCAAGCAAATGTTTTTTTTTTTTTTTTTTTTTTTTTTTTTTTTTTTTTAAATGTATATTCAGACGTGTTTTAAATAAATTAAATATTTTTAGGTAATCAAAGCAAAATTTGAAGAATATATACATATTTAATATTTTGTTTAATAATAGTATTTAAATAGTTTAAAACAATATATTTAAATAGATATGTATGAATTTCTCGAACATTTTTTTTCTCTTGAGTTGGGTTATAAATAAATCAACGAATCAATTAGTTTCGAAGGTATTCAAATTTTATATATATATACATATTTGTTGAACATTTTTAAAATCTTTTTATTGTTTATTTATCTATAAAATAAAAATAATAAAATTGTCATAATCTGATGATATACCAATAATCGTGCCCTTCCCATATACAAGTTTTTGAATGAAGACCTTGAAATGTTAACAGCACACGATAATACGAACACCTAACGATTACGTTTTACTTTGATAAAATGTCTAATCTTAAAAACGACAAATTCTACATTATAAAATAAAATACATTTATCTAGTGAATTCATTAAGACGTGCGAGATCTATGTATAGTTATAGTTCAAGTGATCAAAGCAAAGGATTATAATAATTATTTAAATAATTTAACTACCGCCTGAGAAATTGTTATCTCAAGAGGACGCTATACCCGTATCTTAGTCCAACTACTTAGCAACATGCAAAACCAATGCTTACGCAGAATAAGTAAAACTAGTTTAAATTTGATTTTAGAGTAAAAGTACTTATTATGAAATTTATAGGGAAGAATATGTTGGAAGGAACCTCATCGAGTTTTCACATTTTTCTAAATAAATATACAGCTCGATTTAAAAGGCACAAACACCTATATTTTTTTTACTTTTTAAATAACTGTAACTTTTTAATAGTTTGTAAGTTTGTGCTGTTAGTTTTAATGTTAGAATAAATTGACCTATTATCAAACTATTATCGTTTTTTTTTTTTCCAAGACATGAAAAATGTGTGAAATATTACGATTTAACGATATTTATAACTCGATAACCAAAAAAAAAAAAAAACATAAAAACGACGATACGGCACAGATAATGTCAGAGGATAAATCAGTGTACACATGTTTGGTAATCATGGAAATCATTGGTGATGATTTTATAGGAAATTTTCATAGTATTTGGGAAAATCTTGATATTTTGGAATCTGGTGTACACAGTATTAATCTGTATTAATCATTGATTTACCCTCTGGATAATGTTCTTGTTTTCAAGTTTGATAAAAGGCCAATTCTTTCTTATATTAAAACTATCAGCATAGAGTTGTCCGTACTTAACGAAAATTTTCTGTTGCGGGATTATTTAACGGAGACATGGTATATATTATGGCATAGTAGCGTCATTTGCACTCCACAAGGTATACATTTGCGTATTTTAAATCTATTATTTATATCAAGTAATTTTGCCCGTTATAAATTGTTTGAATAATAGATATTGTTACTTGCTGCTTTACATATTTGATTTTTAAATTAATATTTTCTTCTTTTGATTTGAAACAAAAAAACATGATTAGGACATTACACGGTTATTTATAATCCTGATGATTCTCATATTAGTTTATTAGCAAATTTTTAATATTTTATTAGATAGTTTAATACATTTTTTGAAAAATATGTCGATAATTTTATTTCTGTTGTGTTTGAAAATTCTAGACAGGTTTTATGGCCTGCATAAATATACGCATATTAAATAATAAATTGAAATGACGCCACTGATATGGCGTTTTTCGAACAGGTATATGGAAGAATGTAAAGCTAACAGACAAACTTTACTTAGATTAACGCGTTTTGGTTAAAACTGTAGAGTTTAAGAAATGGTTTTCGTTAGGGTTTATTAAATAAACTTAGAATTTACCAAATTAGTTGTAAGCTGTAATTGACGTGATATTACTATTTTAATATTTGTATGTTAAATTTTAACATATGAAAAACAATCATCAATCTTTATATATTACCTGTCGAGCTATATAGGTATTTTAATTATCAAATCATTTTTTAAATGCAGCGAACATATTTTCGTTTTTTGCGAACTAATTTAATATAATATTATTTCAATGATTTTGTTTTAAACACCTAATATATACTAGATTGAAACTTTGAATATAAATTTAAATGTTAAAATTAAAAAAAAAAAGTTTTTAGTCAACCGTCAAACCACCGTGGACTAATATATAAATTATTAACAAATAATAATACTTTCATATAATACTCGTAAATTATTCGAAACTAAAACAAGAACACGCATTGCTAACTTTCCTTAGTTTTTTTTTAATAACTGTATTTAAAAAAAAAATTAAATTTATGCTACCGAGTTTAAAGTTGATAATATATTTAAATGTAGATGTTCAAGGTATATATAAACTAAAATGCATTTCAATTTAAGTATTTATATTTTATATTTACATTATTTTTTATTGTTTTTTAGGTTTTCCTAACCAAACTTTCAAAAATAAAATCCCTGTACAATTTCGTCTGTCGTTATTGCACAGGTTTATAAATAATAACTCCGCCATTTTCTGATCGATTGTAATGGAATTTTACATGCTGATGGTGTTTTATATACAACCCCGCATAATTTTGAAGCCAACAAATAAAAATAAATAAGTCAGTTGTAGTTTGAGGAAAAAAAAACTGAGGAATGAACATTTTTTTTTCACGTACTCCATCTTGCGGATTGTCGTTGGATTTGGTTTTTGTATATGCATTAAAGGTTCTGTTGTGAAATTTTTTGTGCGGATAAATATTTCGTGGCATATAAATTTCTTAGGTCGATAGTAATATGTAACTTTTCTACCTCTAATTTGCCAACCACGTTAATTAAAAATTCAAGAAAGTAGCACTTAATAATTACTTAATGTTTTTACCGAAAATAGTCTAGAATAAAATATTTTGTTACTTATAGGTTTACTTACCTACTACCTAGTTATGTAAATATTGAATAAAATATATTATAATACTATGCATATATACTATAGGACATATTTTTGTGTACGATACGCACTCGGCATGTTTTCAAAACTATAATATAATAGGGGTCTGGTTTTTCTTTTTGTTAAGTTTGTATGCGCTACACTTCGCTATATAATGTAGTTCGTTGCATATGCCTTAGAGATAAAAATAACAAATTTCCATACGGAGTATGTTACCTTCTATTGTCTAAATTTAAATTAATTCAATATTCCTACAAAATCGATTGAACCCTCGAGTAATATAATACTTAAAAAATATTCATATTGTAATCATATTATGAACCGCATGGGGTCTAAATTATTGTTACTCTTCTTTTTCTTCTTTTACATCCTAATAATCCCACGCAAGCAGTGACGGATTTACTAGGGGGGATCCAGGGGGTCTGGACCCCCAGACAACGATATAGTTTCAATAAAATGTCGTCAAAAAAAAAAAGGCATCTATTAATAGAGATACCTTTTAAATACCTACGATTTTTCAGGACCCCTCCCAGAAAAATGTTAAAAATCCGCCACTGCACGCAAGAAAGGTCAGTTACTCTTGCATTCTCGTTCACATCTCCCTATCAGTGAGTTATTTAAGAAGAGAAATTTTAAGGAGATACATCTTCCCCTTGATCATTTTTTAGTAGATAATATTTATTTGACTACCTATCTTTAAATTTGAATTTCTTCACTTTTGGTCAGACAAATTAAAAGTTGTTTATGTTGGTACCTATAGTTAATATATTAATAATTCGATATAAATTATTTATATTCAAAAATAATAATAATACTATCATTTCTGAGTTCATTTTCAATGAAAGTACGTTTGCTTTTTCATATTTTCATCGTGGTTGTAGAATAGGATGATTCGAAATTATCTGCAAATACTTGTCGGATGTAAAACATTTCAAATCTAACCGATTCTATTCAAAATATTACCTATATAATAATGTATACGTTTCCAGCTCCCTTAACAATAACAGGAACATAAAATATGAACGTGGTTGTTTTTTTCTAATTAGTGTTTAATGAAGTATTTTTAATATATTTTATTGGAATATTGAGTAAACAATATTTCATCATAATATAACATAGAAAGATTATTGTACCATTGGGTTTGATAACTGTTAACACAAAAACTTTTTTATAATAAATAATAAATTACTGATCAATATCGACTTAACCACCTGTTGCAATAATTTCCAAATAATTGTATTTGTTTTGAAGTTTTATCATGAAAGGCAACATAATCACAATAATTATTATCTTATTATTATTATAATCGGTCAATTTTTTTTTCAATGTTTACACCGACAGCAATAGAGAAATAATCAGTCTCTTGTTGAGTGTGATTGAGTTTGTGCATTTAAAACAAATTTTTACTAAACTAATAAACTCTATCTTAGTATTATAAAAATGTATTTTTTTCTCGAAAAACACATTAATGCTTATTAACAATGCTCAGATTTTATCATGTTATACTTTAAAAAATGTGGTTTATTTGCCTAATGGTGTTTTGTTTGTAACATTTATTGACATTTTTAATAGTTCACCCCCGGGTCCTTTTTATTTTGTTGATAACAGAGTTTCCTTGGTAACGAGGGAAAAAAACAACTTATACTATTCCGCCCAAAATCGTTTTTTCGTTTGAAGTAGTTTATCATTGCGTACAGATAAAAATTAAATAACTATGCATCATAATATCCAAACTTTCTGTCTACAACAATAAAACATCTGTCCGCAGTGTCAGGTCTTTTAGATTCTAATTTAGGCGAGAAATATATTGGTTTTAGAACGCTGTTTTTTATTATTATTTTTTTCTGTGAACATTTTTGCTACCAGAAATCTTGCTACGATTTTCAAGTGTAGTAGTTTTACTATAATTAAATTTTATCTGAATGGTACTTTAGCCTGGTCTTTTTTTGATTTTTCAAGTGGTTATATAAAAATTGGAGAAAAACGCAAGGAAACTAAAAAATTAAAGAAATTATTATTTTCAATTTTGTTTTTTGTTGTAATTTACTTTAAAATATTAGTAAAGAGTTGACAATTTGACAGAAAACTTATATTTGACTTTTAAGGACGTGGTAAAATTTTCAAAAATGTTAAGCCATTTTTGAGCTATTTATAGACATTTAAATTTTTCGATTTTTTTTTTACGTAATTTTTATTCGGTAGGTACTTTGTAGATAAAGTTGTTAGACCAGATAGAAATACTTGAATTTTTTATAGTGGTAAGAATTTTAGTATAAAATTTTAATGAAAATCGCAAATATTATAGCCTTAATAAATATTTATAACCGAACTTTACTCACAATCGGTTTTTCATTAGCAAAGATTAACCGTTTTGTATAGATATACATTAAATTTACCTCTATATCCTACCTCTCTAATTTTTTACTTACCACAGTGATGGGGTCTTCGAATGGAGAACCGTCCTCTCATCTTGTAAGTATCTTTTTTGTTATACCTACTGGTTGTAGTGTCTAAATTCATTGGCATATAAGAGGGATTAATAATTATTTATGTAACATATCGTCATATTATACAATTTATACTAATTATATTTTAATGCCCAAAAAAGTGGTACACAGTTTTGGGAATATCGTGTACCTAATCTTGCAGATTTGGAATACCGGTCAAGTGATTCAAAATCTAGAGGGGGGGGGGGGGTAAAATGTATTACTATTTACTGTTAGTTGTATTTTCAATTATATTGACCTTTTTTGTTAAATTGTTAACATGACGTCATACACCAATAATTCAGTATATAAAAAAACCGAAAAGATATCCCCCCCCTAATAGTTATCTGTGATACGGGTAAAAACTACTGCACCGAAAATAACTAATCTATCCAAAATTACGAAAAATGTCTATTTAATTTTATCGCCGATGTATATTGCACATTATATTGACTCTACTTAGATAAAAAATAGTAACAGGTGTATTTACATAATATAATTATTATATTTGCGTACCTATAATTGATAAAATATTATGTAGGTAAATAGAAATTGAAAAAAAAATAATAGTTATACACTCGATTATTATTTGTTAGTAATAAAATGATCAATTAATATTATCTGTCTATTGTACATGTTATTATATTATAATAACTGAAGTTAATAAAATATTGTTTTTGTTTTGTTGCAAATATAAATATTTGTTAACGGACGACAAAAGAAATGTATACAATAAATCGGTCCTCGTACTAGCTATATAAAAAAAAAAAAAATTAATAATAATAACCACGATGAAAATCGAAAATATAGCGTTTTCCCCTCTTTCAAAACGTTCGTTATTATAATTAAAAAATATTGTACGTCAGGAAATCGTCAACACAATTGTAGGTACGAATACCTATGTATACAGTGTACGCGAGCAGTACTAATTGTTCACGTTACGTTTACGTCGTTTTCGATGAATTTTTTATACTTAGGCATGCATGTAAATGAAAAAAAAAAAAAAACTTTTACCTTTAGTAATTGTAAAACGAGAATACAACAGCTGTAATGTACGCACGATGCTTATGCTTGGTAATACATGCCACTCGTTATTAGTATAGTTTAGTACGTGACACGTTGCAGACGTGGTTTTTCAGTCGTTGAAGTGCGTATCTTACTATATAATATTATAATAACGTTGGTTTGTATTTATATTGATGTACTATTATTATGATATTTTATCGGCGTTTTTATTTCGAAAATCAAGAGTATAGTATAATTTATTATTATTAATTTTTTTTTTCTAAGACATGGTCTCTATTCGTGTAACAGTTATCCACGTTTATATCGATTTTACATACCATAAATCTGGGTCAAATCGAACGAATTTTATCTAATCCTACCCGTAGATAATATTATTATATACCTTGTTAATATATTTAATTTTCTAATTTATATGTATATATATATAGGTAATTTTTTGCCTAATTATACTATTGAAGTTATTATAATATTTGCACCGGGTCCGAAATTAGTAATAGTAATTAGCCCATAGGCTCCCAAAAATTAGGGCCTCTACAGTTTTGTAATTATTTAACCCTATATAAAAGAACATGTATTTTATTTAAATTTACAGATATTAAACATATCTTATACTATGGAACGTTATTATTTTTATTTTACGTATTATTGTACTACCTAACATATGGGTTAATACTGAAAAAAAATTATAAGCGGTGTTCCAGAATAGAAAAATGAACAAAGAAGTAAAAAATTGTTTTCCTTGCGTTGAAATAGTTCTTTGCATTTATCTCGGTATTGTGATTACAAACTTCAATAGTATAAGATCATTTTTTTTTTCATTGCAAAACACAAAATAGATTGCAAATCAACTTGCATAAATGAGCAAGCTGTCATATATTTAAAAAATTGAATTGATGATCTTGTGAAAATAAAATCAATAACACACTAATTTATATTCTATATATTATGACTCTTGTTTATTTATTTGGGAAAATGTTACCCTCACAATATATTTTGCTAAAAGGCTACCATATTATAGCTAAGTTTGCCCCCAATTTTCATCTATGTAAACTAGGGTTTTATTTAAAAAAATATATATGTTTAGTCACTTCCTTTAAAATACATAACTTTAATCTATTCAAATATTCATAGGTTTTTAAAACATTGTTTTTCTCAAATACCATTGATTTGTAATAAAAATTAAGTTACAAATGGACAATTTTCTAAACAAAATTATCTACCTATATAACATATGTACAGACAATAATTTTTAATAATACTAAATAACAACTAGGAAAACATTTTTTTTTTTTTAATTTCGAATTTCTAGAAATTTGTATTTGATAAATTAAATAGGTATCTGGATGGGTTCATACAATTATATACTGTTTTTTTGTTTAATTTGATTTATGGTTTATATAATGGTATATAAATTATGTTAGGTAAGCTATTTGATTCTTTATCAGCAGACATTAGATTTTATTTCAAAACAATAGCTTTAAAACCGACATAAATTTTTATAAATAATACAATGATAATAAATGATTATTATAAATAATAATTTTTATACAATGTACTGCAGGTAACAAAAACAATCCGATTAAAAAAAACTCTTTGGAATAAAAAAATAAAAGAATACTAGAATTCTAGGATTTTAATTACTATTGAAAAAAATCTATTTAATATAAAACAATTAAGTGTCAAAACTGAAAATTCTCTACAATTTTTTGATAGTAAAAAAAAATACTAATATCTTGATGATATTTTGATAAAAAATATTTTACTATTTTAGAAATTTGGCTGGGTTTTTTTTTTAATATTGGTATTTTTGTATTTTTTTTTATCTGCAGACTTATAAATTATTTTATTGATACTGAGATTACAAAATGTTCAAATCATAATTTGTGTACCTATTATACATTAACTATCCTACTTCTTTTAGAACTTTGATTAATGTTAAAATATTTTTGATAATCAATTTCAATTATTTGCGAAAGATTATAATTTTTATTGTATGGCTGTTACAATTTCAACATAACTTAACTTTTGATTAATCAATGCTCCAAAACTATATGTATTATTATAAAATAAAATCTCATAGATTATTTAATTTAAACCAATACATGGTATACAATTCAAAATTATATATATATAATAATAGAAAATTTCATTTTCAATTTGAATTTTGATACAAACAAACTACCTTATAATAATAATAATAATAATAAAAAAAACAACAACTTTTGTAAAACTATTGCATTCGTTTTTCGATATCGTATTAACTGAAGGAACTTTATTCTTTTAGATTCTGAGTGTAACGAGAAATGTACCTATTGGTTTTCTTATGATGTGTTTGTAAATAACTTTTCAACCATAAATATCCGATTATCATAGAATATATAATATATATAAAATATATACGTATTTATAGTTAAATTTTACTGACAACCATAAAAATAATGACACTTCAAAACATGTTTTAATCGAAGAAAAACGTTTCCAACTATTTTTTAAAGAAATGAAAATTATGGTTATTGTTGTTCTTTGACTCGTTTATTTTAACAATAATTTTGTCTTAAATTTAAAACAAGCAAAAACTAATTAATTTTTCAACTGGAACGTGACGCTCACACATACTTTCTTCGAAACCGAATGCTATTTAAACTATTTTTTTTAATAACAAGTTATATTAATTACTAAGTTTAACATACCTATTTTATGAGATTATTTCTAGAAATCACTGAATAAAAATTCACGCCCTAAATCGTTTGAATTTCTTAATTTCAACTACCTATGGCATTTTATTACATTTCTTATGAATAAAGCTTAACAATATATTATTTTTTAAATTAAGTTACCTATCGTGGAAACAAGCGTCTAGGAAGGGAAAATGCCGAATGGCTGCAAGATGGTGGTCTTTAGCTGTCGATGCTGTTATTATATCAAACATTATTTACTGTTATATATTCATACTATGTATACAGTATATATTTTGGAATATATTGAATACAATATGTTCTACTGTTCTACATTTACCATCGTATAAGAATTTAAAATGGACTATTACTATTTTATAATATTAATTTCAACAATTGTATAATGCTTTAATTAATTTTATTAATATTATTAATATTTTTTCAATTGTTACAATATATATTATGAAAAACGAAGACTTCTTAATTTTATGCATTTTAGTTCTAGAAAATATAGGATAAAAAATCTTTTATAAAATAATTAAAATTTGTATTCTGTGCTTGACTCAAACAAATTTATTAAATATATTGCTATAACATATTTAATTTTTCACAATTCCAAAAATGATCTGTATTTGGACATTAATTATGTATGTAATGAATAAATTATAAATATTAAAAATATAATATTAATAAATAGTGCATAAAATATAAATATATAGAACAATAATTTTTCAGATCTGTAGCTCCAATAACCGACAGCATCCAATCATCTTTTTTTTTTAATATATTCAAAAAAAAAAAAAAATATATATATATATGTAAGAGTGTTTCATTAAGAACATCGGATTTAATTTTGTTATTACTTAATCAAAAAAATTGTATGAATATGTAGTATACCTGCTCCGATTTATGTATTGAATATAATATCTAGCATATTTCCACTGGCATGCTATCTATATGGAATGCTTCAGTTCTGGCGACAAATTTGCCTATTAGTCGCTGATATATATCCTTGTCCAGTTCACCAATAACATGACGATTTTCATCCTTAAGTTCTTTGATGGTTCGTGGTTTATTTTCATAGACGTAAGCTTTAACGTAACTCCAAAGAAAAAATTAAATTGAGTTAAGTCACACGACCTGGGAGGCCAGTTCTGATCATCACATCGTGTAATAAGTCGATTCTCAAATTGTTCACGCAATAACATGATTGTGGTACGGGCACCGTATGTCCTGCTGGAACCAAATACCACATAAATCTACTGGATTTCTTTCTTTGGGGTTACGTTAAAGCTCATATTTATGAAAATAAACCGCGAACTATCGAAGAACTTAAGGATGAAATTCGTCGTGTTATTGGTGAACTAGACAAGGATATGTCCGCATAGGCAATTTCGTTGTCAGAGCTTAAGTTTGCCAGCGAAGCAGAGGTGGACATATGCCAGATATTATATTCCATACATAAATCGGAGTGTGTATACTACATGTTCATATAATTTTTTTGTTCTTAATATTTTATATATTTTAATATATTAATATACTTAATATATTTTTTTAATAAAGTAATAACAAAATTAAATCTGCCGTTATTAATGAAAGAAACACTTTAAATTAACAATATTTACACGTTTCCATTTCCTTATCCATTAATAATATTGATATTTGATAATCTCATGATATAATACTGGTAAATGTTTGTGGAGATAAGAGATAAGATGATAAAAATATAATAAGAGCATGAGACTGCCATATTGCAACTATTCAGCGTTTTCCCTCCCTAGACGCTTGTACCGTAAATGGCGATAATACATAGTTATAGTACCTATCCTTTATAATTTTGACACAGTATATTTTGACTTCATGTAGGTTGATAAATTGTATTGGTTTTTTTTATAGAAAGCATACTTTGATCCGAAAATAAATAGAAAACAAATAAAATTAGTTACTTTTATGACAAAGCTATAAATATTACTAAAATCATATTTTTCACTCAAAGGACCCGGTGCCAGTTTTCCAAGTTTTGTAAAATTTGAAATTTTTTTTTACAATTTTAATGATAAGTCTTGTCCACTTATCTACTGCCCGATACTTGTTTAAATGAAAACTGTATGACCTTTTTCAGCATATTTTCCAACTTTTTTCTTTTCTTAATTGTTAAACAATATTAAACTACAGAACGTATTGAACTTCGATTTTTCATTTGAGTTAAAAATTAACCTTTTTTAAAGACGTATTATATTTTGATCTGTAGAATACCTATTTTTCCAACGAACAAATAATAATCATGGAAATCGGACTACAAAGACATACGATTTCTTTTTCTCGTAAAACATATCTTTGAGCCAAAAAACGCGCTGGCACCGCGCTCCAGAATTAAAGATACATAATAATTATTGGAATCTAAATCATTTTATAATAAAATGCATATTATCCATAGGTAAATTTGTATAATATGTATTATATTGTACTACAACACTTGATAACGCGTGTTTATTAAATTGATATAATGTGACAAATTATAATATGTCCTTCCTTTTCTATTACAGAATAAAATACATGTTTCAAATGGTAAACTAATAATAATAATTTTATTTGTAATTTTATATATTATTATTTAGAGTGTACGTTTGAAATAGTTATGCACGGCAATTCCGCGTACTACGGACCGTTTTTTACCGGATATAAAAGCCATAATAATAAAGATTTTTAATTTATCATTATATCGTTGAAAATGATGTTATTATCATGTTTGAAAATTGTTCGTCTCATCAAAATTGTAATTGCGGTAAACGAAGTGCTTCTGTCATCGGAAAATTAACCAAAGTGTTCGGTCACAGAAAAACATATCAGGTTCAAAAAGTCCAACAGCTTAACGAAGTATTGCTGACAGAACTCGTTGAGGTACTTAAACAATAATTATTGTGTTTGTGCAACATTATTATCAGGTTTGTTATGTTTGAAACATCAAAAAAAAAAGGTTGGTTTTGTTGTTAACATTAATTAAAAGCGTGTGTTTAAAAGAATATTTTTAGTAAATTTTAAATAAAAGTAATCTATGGATTTTTTTTTATTTACGGAACAGTCCTTTTACCCATTTTTTTGAAAATCGACAATTTCAGTGATAGTATCAAAAAAAAAAAAAAAAATTGGGCAATTGTTTTAGACAATACTCCATAACTGAAAATAAGCACGACCCCCCAAATTTTGATTGCACCACTGTTCTCAGTGTCAAAACTACATATCTATGAATAGAAAATAACTTTTTAAAAATAGGTGTGCCGTAAAGAAGATCTAATCTATATAAATATTTACAAAAATACTAATAATTACATAATTGCATGTTGACTGATGAGCGAAACTATCTATCTATTGCTAAAAGTATAGAATCTTTTCATTATATTTAAAATAAAATGCATTCGTACCACAATAAATAATTAATTTAGTTATTCTAGATTTTTTTAAAATAATATAAAGTAAAAACAATTATGGTACTTATGAGATTACGTCATTATGGTTGACAGTGTTAAACAAAAGATCGAATTCGGAATGTACTTTAAATTTTAATGTTCAATAGGTATCCTGAATTTAATACCGAATACTAAAAATTTAAGAAATTCTTAGTTAAAACTGTTCAACATTGATTAACAAAATTTCTTTTAAAAACCATTATCTATTTGATTATTATAATTTATAGGCCTTCACTAAAAAGATTGTTTTCAAAAATATATTTTTGAAAACCGTTTAAAATTGTTTTTAACGTTTTAAAGGTTTTTTTTATTCTTTTTATGTGTTTTTTTTTCAACTCTGATTATTATACTATAATAATATGAATAAACTTATTTCACCCCGTTAGAAACGGTTGGCTGCAATTGTGTTTTCGGTGGTGGGTCCAGGGACACGTGCCTCCATGTCAATGAATTACTGTTTTATATTAATTTAATGTATAATTTAATGAAAATATAAATAAAATGCCCGGCTGTGTGTTTATATCTATTAATTATACTTGTCACAATAATAATATGTGAATATTTAAATATATATATTTGTACTCTTCGCAATGATTAAATCATATTCATCAATCCTGTCACATATTGACACAGCGTTACACATTTCATAAAACGCTAACATTTCGTAGGTATCGTACATATTACCTATATAGAAGTGAAAAACGCATTTTCGTTCGTTTTGTGTTGAGCTTTTAGCCAGTAAATACCTCTTGTATTAAAGGTGTATTTTAAAATATCAAAAAAAAAAAAGACTAAATTGTTGTCAATATACTATACAGTATGTAATCCTTAGTTGGAAACATCCTTTAATTGAACTCTGCACAAATTAAATGCATTTGAATTCTGCTTTGGGTGCCTAATAAACTTTTTTTATACACTTATTAAACTAATTAAATTACTTTCATAACATTTAATTTCGGTCATGCGTATAACAACTTTTTTTTAAACAGAACCTCCCCCCTCTTTTAGGGCAATTATTTTTACTTTGGGTAGATGAACGGAATACCTCAACTAATTTTTGAGAATTTGTTGTGTACTATTTGTTTGAAGTGAAACGCATTTGAGACAGTTAGATATATAAATTAAATATTTAGTGAAATTTATGGTCTCTACATTTATTCTTCATTGAATAAACAAAATTGAATATATAGTAACAAGAACCCTTACCTACCAAAACAGTTAAAAGTTCCCCCTATGGTTTTTATTTTGGTTTTCCCCATAATCAAGAATATTACAAAGAAAGTAAAAAAGAACCTTCCTCATTTTACTAACGGAACAAAATATTTATTTTAATGTTCCACCTCTAAAATCAATATACTGATCAAGATTTGGAAAAGTTGTAGAAAAGTTGTTCACATACAGAAAAAATAACAAAAACACATGCCATAGTAATTATCATAGTAGAATCTAAAATAAATATTATTTATGAAATTTAGCCTTCAGGAGTACTATTAGTGTTTGTTTTCAAAAATGATTAATAACTGAATGATTTGTGGGGGGGAGGGCAAAGTTCTGGTTAGGTGTAGTTGAATTATTACGCAGGACACTAATTTTGTTTAGTCATGAATTTTTCCAATTAAAGTACTGCCTATGTATTTTTAATTTTAGAACAAATTTACTATATCTACCTCGGTTTTCAGTTTTGTTTATTTTTCTTTATAAAGACATTATTTTCAACACTAATTTTAAAAAATAATGATTTGTTTTAAAAAAATCAATATTAAAGAAATTTTGACAATTTATAGTTCTACCAGGAACACAGATATGATAAAAATTTATTACAAATACCAGCAATGGCACTACTACTGACTTAGGTAAAAATTCTGGGGGATTTATAGTCTCAAAAATATGTATTTGCCTAAATTTGACAATATAATATTGTATTACATTATTGTAGTCTTAAAACAAATACAAATAATTATTATAAAATATTAATATCTAACTATATTCGTTGTAATTGGGGGGGATTCTATTTGGAAAACTGGAAGAACTAAGCTCCCCCAAGTCCCCCTAGTTGTGCCTATGAATACTAAGTACTATACATTAGAAAAAATGTTTAAAACTTAGATTAATATTTCAAGGCAGATATAAAAAAAAAGGACAATAATGGATGAGGGAAATTTAGATCTTCAATAGTCATAGTCAACCATATATCATAATAATAAATTGTTATGCATTTTGACATGTTTACTAATATTACAGATTATTTTTGTCTCTAATGCTGCTTTTTTGGCATAATATTTTTAATTTTTGCAAAACATTAAAAAAATTTGAAAATTTTGAAGTCATGGTAAAGTGCTTATTAGCCATAATTTCTTCCTAAAGAAACTTAATTAATGATTGTAAAAATAATATATATATATTTAAAAAAATATATGTTAAATATTGATAACTAAATATTATTTCCTGCCTAACATTTCACATTTCATCTTAAATTAAATGGTTTTAAAAACTTTTTCAGAGAAATTTATTTAGTTTGGTGTGAAAATATTTGTTTACTTTTTATTAATAAATTATTATAAATCCCTTGTTTCTATTATTTCAAATAAATTAAATACTATATTTTGTTACTAATATATTTAATTTTATTCACAGAGTTCAAATTCATGGGTAACTGTGCACAGTTTGCAGTCTCAAAGCGATGGTGGAATTTTAGACCCAGATGATCGACTCAGAGATGTTGCAGATGATAGAGAACAAATTATTGCACTCTATGATGATGGTGATAGTATCAGCCCTCATCAACATGTTGTTGGTGATGGAGCTAGTCACACATCTAGTCCAGATATGTTTCATGTAAGAGAACAATATGCAACATAACTTAACCTTTCATAAAATCAAAGAATTAGCCATTCTAAAGCATAATTTATTTTACATTTCTACTTTTATTTAATGTTTATTTTTATTTTTGTAAGCAAATCAATAAATTGATTTTATATTTGTGTTTTATGTACTTAAAAATAAATAGAGTCAAGATGGTCTACAAACGGATATTGAAGTAACTAATGAATTAATTGCTTCTGGTTTCCCAGCTTTACATGTTCGTAGAGGTAGTGAACCAGCTCTTAATCAACTACCCCTTGAAAATGGTAAGTTATTTCTAATTATAAAATATCTGTATTGTGAATTATATTATACAGTAAACATATATTTATTTGTTTATACAGCCAACAATTTAGGAAAAAGAACTAGCAATTTAAGGCCACCTGCGTCAGGCCAATCTAAAAGATGGTCAGCTGCACCAATGATCCATGATCCTAAAGAAAAGCTACGAACTGTAATTATTAATAAAAATAATTATCTTGAAATATACAATTTTATAATTGTATACTTGAAAAGCTTATACTTACTATAATAAATAATTTTTATTGAAGGGTGATTACACAAAAATCAATGGGTTTGGTTTATCTGATAAATGGCGTTGTTCAGAAGAAGATGAATATCAAATAGAATTTTGTGATGATAAACCACCAATTAGCAATCATTTCCTAGCTCCATTTCATCGTGACTCTCCAAACCGTTTATCAATGCAATACTTAGGAGAATCATCTAGGTTAGTCTTTTTTGTACTATTATGAATAATTATTTTGGTAAAAACTTGTAGTATATTAAGTGGTGATCCAATATGACTTTTTTCTCAATATTTTAAATTGAAAACCGTGAGTTGATATTGAAATTAACTAATGTATCAGAATAAAAATCATATTTTTCCATAATTTAGAGACTTTTTTAAAAAATATTGTGTTACATTAAATCAAAAGATGATACAATAACTATAGTGGTTTATTATTTAAAATTTAAAATTTAAATTGTTTTATTTTTCATTGTTTTACAATGTATTGAGAATAGAACTAGAAATGTAATAAAATAAATGTTGAAGCGGTTCATTTACATATTATATAAAAGTATTTAATTTATTTTAAACTCAAAATGTTAAAAAATAATTTATAATTATACAAAAAATAATTTGAAACTTTAATAATGAATAAAATAGTATAATTTTCTTTATTAAAATAATATAACTTAAAACATTTGAAACTTTAATTATAATTTGAAGCAGAGGGATATTTTTTAATACTTAAGCAAATATTTTTTATTCAAAAACTTATTCTGTGACTTTTTTTCATCACATAATATATTTATAACATTTAACAATTAACACTTTCAGTAAAAAAGGAATCCTTATTTATTGATAAATATAAAATAATTGTTTTTGTGCAAATTAAACAATTATAAATAGTTAATCAAAAAATAGTATGTATAATAAATTTATTTTTATTATTTATTGAAGGTATATTAAAAGATTTTAATTTTATAAGACATTTTCAAAATCTTTAATTACTATTATTACTCTAATCTCTTAAAATGTATAAATTATTATTTTTTTTCATATATTTTTAGTGGTTTTAGGTGGGCAGAATCAGCTGACCTGGCAAATAATCGAGCATTATCATTATCATTACCACGTGACCATAGAAGAAAGGAACCTTTAGGTCAAGCTAATACTAACCCTTCTAGTCGTTTACTCGAACCACAAAAGTATTAATTTTAATTTTAAAATTTAATCAATTTTTGTATTTGTTAACCTATATTATATATATTCAGCACTGAATATATTGTTTTGAGCACTGGTGATGGAACATTAGGAATTCATGTTGTACCAGATTATGATGACCTAGGCAAGGAACGTGGACTTTTAGTCCAATTTATCGAACCTGGTGGTCGAGTTCATTGTGACGGCAGACTAAAAGTATATGATCGAATTGTAGAAATAAATGGTCGATCATTATTAGGTCAAAAATTTAATGCGTATGTTTTTGCTGTAATGTAAACTCAAGATAAATTTTAATATAATTTTACCTTTATAGCTTACAAGAAATATTTAGGGATTCATTACATTCATCTGAGCTCAAACTTAGAGTAATAAAACATAAAAATAATATGGATGTTCAAATTAGTCAAAATATGGCAGTTAGCAATAAAAAACATCCACCTCCACCAGTATTCCCCAAACCATCCACAAATACAAGTACACCTTTCAGTAATAAAGAAAATGTAACTTCAGGAATATCCAAGGAAGATAGAAAATGTACTTATTTATTTAATGTGTTTATTTAAATTATAAAATAAAATAAATTATAAATTAAATATTGTACATGTTTTATGTTACAGTAAATTCAAATACTAAAATTGCAACAGTATCGCCAACTAAAAAGCCATCCACAGCTGCAGCTCATACTGCTTCTAATATTTTAATGGTAGCTAACACAAGAAAAATAGGAAAAAAAATTGAATTAGAACTTACTAAAGGTCCTCATGGACTTGGCTTTAGTATAACAACAAGAGATAATCCAGCAGGTGGAAATTGTCCAATTTACATAAAAAATGTGTTATCAAAAGTATTGTTTATAGATTTTTAAATTTAAATAATGTATAATTTAATCAAATCTTTAATTTGTTTAGGGTGCAGCTGTTGAAGATGGTAGATTAAGACCAGGTGATCGTTTATTAGCAGTAAATGGCACAGAACTTACTGGTAAAACACAAGCTGAAGCGGTTTCTGTTCTGAGAAAAGTTCCTTCTGGAGCAAAAGTCAAAATTATTGTTTCTAGACAAGAAGATGTAATCCAAGGAACACAGAAATCTAATCAGGTAAACATTTTTGTCTATCAATATTTTCTTTATAAAATATTTTTTGTTTTGTTTTTCAGGAATTAGATGATAATTATGATCCAGAAATAATTAATTCTGAAAATGTATCAAAAAATTCAAATAGTCCTAATATCGTCCAGGTATATTGATTTACCAATAATGTATTCAATCACTTGTAATTTATGTTTACATTTTACATCTAAAATTAATTTGTATAATTTATTAGGAATACATTAAAAGTTTAGAAGAAACACAAACATTTCCTTGGAGACATAAAGAATTATTGACTTTTGACATTCCCGTCCATGATTCTGAGAAAGCTGGTCTAGGTGAATATTATTTTTCAAGATCTTTTAAGACTAGTTTTGTATTTAATTATCAATTTATTTCATTATACTAATATATATGTGTATATATTATATACATAGGAATTAGTGTTAAAGGAAAAACTTCATCAACTAATAATTCAAATGATAAAGATATCTCACAAGATTTAGGTATATTTATTAAAAATGTTATCCACGGTGGAGCAGCTTCAAGGTATATAATGTTTATATATACATATAAATGTGTCTGTTACATAATATTAAACAGTAAATTTGTTGGTATGTGAACTTAAGGGATGGTAGATTACGCACAAATGATCAATTATTATATATTAATGGTATTTCATTGATTGGTCAAAATAATACCACAGCAATGGAAACTTTACGGAGAACCATGTTGAATGTTGAACCTAGCCCAACTCCTGGTACAATATCATTAACTGTTGCTCGTCGACGTAGCAATTCCCCATCACTGAACAAAAGACAAAATAGAGATTCATCATCAAGTCTTACAGATTCTTCTGGTAACTAATTTATTATTATTATAATTAAATAATACATTTGTGTATTTTTATCTATAAATATTTGTTCATGTAGCCAACACTGAAACATTTGGTCGAGGTGAAATGATAAATGATAGTAATACTCAAAATACTACAGACAATTCTGGAACTAGTCAAAGCTCTGATAACACTGTTATTTTTATGCATCAACGACAAGGATCAGAAAGTTCTAAACTTCAACCAACTGTTGCTACTTCTCCAGGTTAATTGAATGAAAATAACCTTAATCATATTATTATATTACTGTATTATAGATTAATATATACTGATTGTTTTGTTATTTTACATTTAAGATGGAATTACAATTCGTAACCCAGTGTTGGAAAGATTGACTGGTCATACTAATCGTTTAAATGCATTACGCAATGAAAGTTATTATAAGGCTACACATCAAACAACAATTATGATGAAAGAAGATGAGCAACTCAATAGCCCTACTGTAAATCAATCATCTGATGAATTGTTAATTATCGAAGAAGATCCTCCATTTTATAATAATACCAAGTATGGTGTTTAATTATATTTATTATTTATTTGTACACAACATATATGACATATTCATTTGTTTAGTAGGAAAAAAATAGAGGAGGATAGCATACCAGTATCCCTTCCACAAACAAGAACTGGATCTACCAGTACAGATGTTACTTATGCTAGCCAGTATGTCTCCTCATCATTTTTTTTTTTTTTTTATATAAATATAAAACCTTAGACCATATACGAGGGCGTATCCAAAAGAAACCGAACTGATGTTGTGTGGGACAGAGTTTTAGTAGTACCGATTTTTTTCCTGTAGGGGCATATAAATATACTTCTCAACATTCAATATGCAAATATGTCATTGTGGAAGGTTGTGTTACGTTGGTTTGATATTTTTTTCAAAAGTTATTTTTTGTACTTATCGTTTTTGTAATGTCCGATTTGCGTGAACAGCGCGCGGCCGTCAAATTTTGCTTCCTGCTCGGGAAAACAGGCACAGAAACCCTTGAGATGTTGAAAACAGCTTACAAAGGTGATGCTTTAGGGAAAACTCAATTATTTGAGTGGTTTTCCCGTTTCAAAAGTGGTAAAATGTCTATAGACGACTAAGTTCGCTCTGGACGTTTTGACGCTTCGACAGCGCGAACCAACGAAAATGTAGAAAAAATTCACAAAATTATCCTGGAAGATCGACGGCAAACCATCGAAGAAGTAGTGGAGAGATNGAATTTTAAGTGAAGATTTGGGGATGAGACGGGTGGCTGCAAAATTTGTTCCTCGACTGCTAACTGAGCAGTAAAAACAAGGCCGCGTGGAATCATGCTCTTCTTTGAAAGAAGAATTCCAAAATGACCCAAACTTCTTTTCCAAGGTCATTACAGGTGACGAATCATGGTGCTATGGATATGATCCTGAAACCAAGCAACAATCGTGCCAATTGAAGACCCCAGCATCGCCTCGCCCTAAGAAAGCTCGTCAAGTAAGGTCAAACATTAAGACAATGCTCATTTGTTTTTTTGATGTGAGAGGAATCGTCCATTCAGAGTTTGTTCCACCTAGTCAGACAGTTAACCAGGCATTTTACCTAGAGGTGTTAAAAAGATTACGCAACAGTTTGATGCGAAAAAGACCTGATTTGTGGCAGTCAGGAGACTGGTTTTTTCATCACGGCAATGCTCCTGTTCACACAGCCCTTTCTGTACGGCAGTTTTTTACCAAAAATGATATGACCACTGTGTCCCATCTACCCTATTCACCCGACCTGTCTCCCTGCGACTTCTTTTTATTCTCCAGAATGAAAAGGAACATGAAAAGAAAGCGTTTCGCGGACATTGATGAAGTTAAAAAAAAAACNAAAAATTGGAACAAAAGATTGGACAAGTGCATTAACTCTAACGGAGAGTACTTTGAAGGAGATTAAATGTTTTTTGTAAAAAAATTAAATAAATAACTACAAAAATAGTTCGGTTTTTTTTGGGTACGCCCTTGTACAATGGATAGAGTCATCATGTATCACACCTATAAAATTAGTTGAAGCAAACAAATAGTAGGACATATGGCATCTGCATATGTGCGATTGCTTGGAGACTGCGCATATCACTGAGGTCCTACTATTTGTTTGGATGACTCAATCCATTTTATATAATGTAAGTATAAAACTAATCTTTTTATAGATTGTCATTGGATAATGCTAACTCAGGATTTTCAAGAGATGCATTTGGAAGACAAAGTATGTCTGAAAAACGGCATGCTACTTTGGATGCTAAAAATACTGATACATATCAAAGAAACAAAAAATTACGTGAAGATAACAAATGTCGTAAGTAGCCGAATAAGATAACCAGCAAATATTTGAATGGCCAATTGAATGAATGAATAGTCATCAATATCTAATGTAGTAGATTTTTAAAGGAGTTTCTTTAAATCTGATTTCAGTTAAACCGATCTTATCATATTCAAGATGAACCATAATAAACAAAAGTTTTAACTTTTAAATTAAAATTAGTGCAAATTATTTTTTTTAAGCTTCTTTAATTTAGTATTTTAGATTCTGAGTGGAGCGAGAAAGCCTACTGGTTTTACAAAGATCTGTAAACAACTTTTCTACCAGAAGAATTGCTTTCTGAATGTAGCACCTTTTCTCAAAGGAAATCAGTGTGGGGATATATTTTAGGGAGCTCATTTTTTGATCTCAAGAGTTTTCTCATCAAATTTGAAAAACCAAAAAAATGGGAAAAGAAATGTAGGTATCAGTTAAAATATGTCACCGCCTTGGTTTTATTCTGTGGGCTTTTTTCTACCTACAATTTTGCTTCAATTTTTAATGAATGCAATGTTTCTAAAAGGAAATTTCACTAGAGAGGTACTTTAAACAGACCATTTATCAATTTTCTCTGGATTTTTCTCATTAACGTAGGAAAACAGGAAAATTGGAAAAATCGGTACACTATTAAACAAATATTATTAAGAAAATATATATAGTCTATTTTAGTATTTTACTACAATATGGCATGTATATTATTGACAAAGCAACGCTATCTACTGAACTCCGCTCAATATTGTTTTTTGTAAGAAATGAACATGGTTTATTGTTGCTTACAGATATATTTTAAATTTCTGTCTGTATCCTACCTTTCTAATTTCCCACCAACACCAGTGGATACATCCATTCCCCTTATCTTTTTTATTGAAATTTAGTTTCTTCTTTTGAATTTTTGTATTTCTGTTATAGAGGAGATCTGATCCCATTCCAAATTAAAAACAATTTTCATTAGCTTAATTTATATATCTTATTTCAAACTTGTTTTAATTTAAAAGTTGTGACATTATTAGTTCTAACTTGAATCAGTTACCAATATTGTTTTTTTATAGGATTTATATTATATCTATTGTTCTTTTAAATAAAAATCTTTCAAAATTTGTTACTCACCACTGTTAATTATTGCACATTTTATTTAAAAAATATAACCAGCAATACAAATTTTTTTAACTTACTATGCATTATACATTATTTTATAATGCATGTTATTCATAATCTGTTATATAATGGCTAATTGTATTTTTGTTTAAAACTAAGGCAACAGTTTGCCATCAAAGAACCAGCTAGGGCCTGCCCTTGGGATGAAAAAATCTTCAAGTTTAGAATCATTACAAACCATGGTCCAAGAAGTACAAATGTCTGATGGTGGAACAAAACGTAATATGAAAGTAGTCCGTGGTAGAGGTTGTGATGATAGTTTTCGGGCTGCAATAGATATGGAAGGTCCATTGTCTCTACATGAACTACGTTTGGAAACTTGTTAGTGTATTATATAAGTATACTTAAGCTAGGAGGTATTATAAAATACTTTTTATATTACTTTCTGGCATTTGGTAAAATTAAATAAATTAAATACACTAATTTTGATATTTTGTTAAAAAATGTATATAATTGTTATTTAATTATTCTATATAGATGAAAAAGATAGTGATCATCAAATAGGCCCAAAACAATCTACCCTTCATTCTCAAATGGACCATAAAGTAACACCACCTCTTGTTTCTAACAAAAAAAAACCAGGTTTATTGAAAGGGATAGGTTCCATGTTCAGGTATATTAAATAATATAATTATTACTTCTACAATTTTAAATATGATATTTGGTTTTTATTTATTTTTTTTTATTTTATTTTTTTATTATTTGATAGATTTGGAAAACCTAGACGTGTGCCAGATTTAAATGGTACTTTATCATCAGAAGAAGAAACTGCTGATCGTGAGAGAGAAATAGCCAGAAGAAATGCTCGAAATGAACAACAGAAAATAAGGGAACATTATAAAAGGATTATTCAACAACAGGCAGAATTGGTATTTATTGTGTTGTTGTTTTTTTTAAATTTTAGATATTATATTTGTATAGAAAAATTATAGTTTTAATTTTCCAAATAATAATTGTTATTAAATTAACTACAACCTAACTTAGCTATCTAAATAATTTGCATTCAAGTATAAAATAAAACTGACAAGTATTTTTGCTATTCCATATTCCCTTTTCTTTTAATTTATCTTATGTTAATTTAACTGTGTCATATAATTTGTTTTCATAGCAAGAACAAAATCACTGTCGTGAAGTACCTATAAATGATAATATGTCCAATTATTCTATGGCTACAAAGTTGTCTAATCCAGAACAATCGCGAATTGATCGTATCCAACAGCTTAGAGCAGAACATCAAAGAAGGCATTTAGAACGAAGTGGAAAGTATATACCCGAAGAAAGAGATGCAAATAATTATGAATCTGATATTCACCAGGTACACAACATTATGTAGTTCAGAGTTCAGTTATTTTTTGGTTTATATGGTTATAATATAATTATTAACTTATCAATTTTGATAAATATTTTGATTACTTAAGAGATTTTAATGATTTTTTTCTCAAAATTGACTACATTAAAAATATTGTATTTTGTTAGCTTTGGAACCAAATATATTTATCTTAGTACTAATTAAGAAAGTTATTACTATATTGAAATTTGTTTTGTTTTAAAGTTAAACTTTATCTTATTAAATAAGGAACATTGTTTTTTTTTATCACTAGTAGGGAATTTTAGTTAAACAAATGACTTGTTCTTTTCATTAGTGTTTTTTTAAAATTTTAATATTTTATTTTATTAATTTAGCTTCCCAACAGTCAAAATGCAATAAATCGACCGGGTAGCCGAGTTGGTATAATTGATTCAGCAAGATTTAATCATTATGTAAACTTCCAAGAAATACAACAAAATCTAAGGTTAGTTTATATTTAATGGTATTAAGTACACTTTTTTATCTTATTACCAAAAGGTAAATTTTTCTTGCATGCATTCATGCATTTTTATTTGTCAAATATTTTCTTATTGTATACAATTCAGAAATTATGTACAAGAATTTTAAACATTTTTTATGTGCATAGTTATAATATATCTATGTGTCAAAATTTAAATACATTGCATGATACACATTGTTTATCAGTTTACTAGAATTTTGTAGAATATTTTTTTCAACTATTAGTAATTTGCATTTAAGGTGTATGGAAATTTATCTTCTATGTTATGCATGCTCTATAACTTTTGATTGTAGTCTGATGCATGGAATAGAAAATTATGGCGTTAAGTTACGAAACCATAGCAAAACAAAAAAACATGTCATGTCTTGCTATTATGACACTGATTACGAAAGGTGGGTATAAAGCCAGCAATTATACTTACAATACACCTATTTATTTTATTGAGTGGAATTTTTGTATTTAATCTAATAATTTACCTTTATGAACTTAATCCCTTTTTTTATTTATGAATAATATAATAATTATATCAAAATAATAATACTACTATTAATATTATAAACTGACAGACAAATTTAAATTATTAGATTCTATTGGTACTTATGTTTACTGGTGATAGGTGTGCCATTTTAAACATGAAATCCTATTTTTTTTAAAGCATACCAGAAATGGAGCGATACATATACATATTCATATATATAATATTATAATATACTTAATGTAATTGCCTGTTGGATATGTTCAACACATTGTAATATACAATTTTTATATATTATGTTGAAAGATTTTATGTAATATAATTATTGCATAATTTCTATGGTGCCAATACAATTTTAAAATTCAAATTGACATACTGATGCATAACTTTTAGATTCCGAGAAGAGTTAGGAATGTATTTGTTTTTCAATGATGTTTATTTTTTTTTACCAGAAATTTTGCTCAGATTTTAAAGTGTAGTACTTTTTCTGAATGAAAATCTAACTGGGGTAGTACTGGGTAGGTCATTTTTTGATTTTCCCAGGGGTTTTCATAATAAATGGGAAAACCCTAGGAAAACCTAGAAATTTACTAATCTTATTATCAAATCTTAAATATTATAGCTATTCAAAACACGTATAACCAAACTCTGCTCAGAATCATTTTTCGCTAGCATAGAGTGTTAATAATTTCCCTCTACCTTCACAACTTTTCACCTTCAAAAGTGGTCTACCCATTGTGTGAAGTATGTCCCTTTGTTTTTATCTTTGCCTTATCTCTTCCCTGGGGCTTTCCACCTGGTTTCAATACAAAAATCACATTTGTTTCAAAGTTGTTTATCATTGTTTTTGTGCATGTCGCATGTTAAAAATAATTTGAATACAAATGTCTAATGATCGATTTTTATTTTTTTCTTAATCACCCAGCCGGAGACAGTTGCACTATCATTCACAGAGACGAGACCCCAAAGAATCTGTGACCCGACCAAGTTCTAACTACTATGAATACGAGAGCGTAATGAGATCTTTACCATACACAAGTGATAGCAGTACATCACGTCTAGTGGATAATAACTCATTAACTAGACATTGTGAGAAATTATTACTGTTAAAATACACATTATCAAACTTCTCAAATTAAAGTCTTAAAATTAATTAACTGGTCATTCAAATTTTAATATTAATATATAATTTATAACCCCTCTATCTATTTATAGCAGGTGGTGATGTTACTAAAGCATCCAAGAACAACAATATGAACAACAACTCTGCACAACAAAAATCTTCTCGTCAACATTATCCAATAGCCAAGTCATCCAACTATACGACATACAATAGTTTTAGTGAAGATAGTTCTGGAGGCCAAAATGGTAGTATGAAACAACTGCAGTCTTCTCGCAAGGTGTCCACAAACAATAACAACTATGCTGATGGTGCACATCATCATTATAATGAAGAACAACAGAGACCATCACCACAAGGTCCTTACATAACACAAGTTACCATTCGGGATAATCAACACATAATTCAAAGTCCTAACATCTAAAATGTGTATTCCTCTAAAATAAAAACAATCATATTTTCTAATATTACATTAATAATATTGTTCCCTAAAAAACTTTTCATATAATCACTATTTTATTTGTTTTACACCATATTTCACCTTGATTTAAAACCTCTTGGGCCATTTAGGGTTTTTATTTTGATTTTCTAATTCTTGTCCCTATTTTGTAATTTTTACCATCACATGCTTAATTTTTATTTTTTATTAATTTTTAACTTAATGTATACTTCTTTTTAATCAGTAGTTCATCATATAAATATTATAATAATATGTTATTTAATCATTTCTAAATGAGAATAGTTATAATTTGTTTTATAAATATTTAGGGATCTACTATGTTTACTATTATCTATGTATAACTTAACAATTCCTAGCTCATAGTCAATGACAGACATGAATAATATTTTTACCAACCATATTTTATTTGAATATGTTCATTAATAATTAACATATAACCTTAAAAGAAAAATACAAAATTAATAATCTTATATTTTAAAATTTATATAAGACTAAAAAACTTAATTTAATAGTTTTCTTAAAGTGATATTCTCCCAAAATTCATTAAAAATGTTTTATTTTATTCATTTTTCACATTTTTTTTTTAATCATTAAATTTGTATGTTAAATATTTTTTAATTGTATGGACACTTTGTCTTTGTTTGAAACTTAATTTTCCTGTGATATAATGTGATTTAAATGTTTTTTGTAGGTACATAATTCTATAAGATGTTATCGATTTAATCAAGTTATGATCATCTTCCCATTGATGATAATATGAAAACATAATTTTTTTTTGTCTTTCTTAAGACATTTTATCAAATTTTTTATTTTTTTTTTTAAGATTCAACATGTTTTGAATGATATTAAATGCGGCCAATTAATGATTAAAATTTTATATTTTTAATAACATATAATAGAACAATGGATTTTTTTATATTACTAGTATTTTTGTTTTATTTGTCTTAGTAATTCTTACAATTTACAAGTCTTCAATTGATTAAATATCATTTTTAATAAAACAAAACATGTTAGTTGTAGTATATATTTTGCTGTCCACAAATATTCACTGATGTGGAATTTTGTATTGTGCCATAATATAAACATTCCATTAAATTATTCCTTACATGACTGTGGCCCCTTTAAGTTTTAATTAGCTTAAATATAATTTTTTATTTTTGCAATATCTTTTAGTTGCTCAACTTTGTAAACTTAGTACTTAAATTATATATAAACAAAATTACACACACAGTATTACCAAAGCGTTTTATATATTATGTATTGTTTCACAGTATTTCTATAATTAGTTTTTTATTCACAGTAAACAATAATTTATTAACTATTAAATCAATCACATATTTGTATACTATTAATGTTTTATGAGTTCCTGTTAAATGATATGAGACAACTTTTGAAATGCTACCCAAATATTATCTTCTTCGACAATTTTCTCTCTCTACTATGTTTAAGTGCATTTACAATGTTTTGTATTGTAAAATACAATATATATATATATATATATATATATTATACCCTTAAACAATATTATTTTATATAAAGATATATTTATTTGAACATTTTATCAATTATTTAATATTAATGGAATACATTTATTTTGTATAATATTATTGTATGTAACTATAAATAGTTATAAATAGTTGATTAAAAATTGTATTTATATTATATATGAATATAATAATCTAAACAAATATAGATATTACTACCTACACATAAACAATAGTTCACTAATTGGTTTATTTATTTTCAAAACTTAACTATAATTTTATGAAAACAGATAAAGAATAAATATTTACATATAGTTGTTGGAACCATTCTAATTACTTACTTTAATGTATCTACATAATTGGCTTTTACTTTTTAGTTATATTGTAGTTATTACTTAATACAGATTAACCACTGATGTTAAAGATTCAAATGTGTTTTAGTACTACAGTTTAAAATATTGATAATGTTTTCATTATACTTTAATTCAGCATGATATTATATTAAAATATGTTGCATATAAAATTGTCCTTAAATAGCTTAATGTAAAAACCATGATAAAATATGGAGCAATATTGAAATATTTATGGTAGAAATGTTAAGCTGTACAAATGTATAATAATGAAATAATTGTGTTCTAATTTGAAGAAAAAAATCATATTTTTTCTTTAAATTTGGATTTTCCCAATTATTATGAAAAATTCTTTAGGTATCAAAAACCTACTTTCTTTATTAGTGGCTACATGTTAAAAAGAACAAAATCGATCAAAAATCATTTTACCTATTATTTTATTTAGGGTTTTTATTAATTATTTCAAAAATCCCTTAGGAAATCAAAAAATGACCTTGCACCAACCTGACAAAATATTTCCTTATAGAAAAGGTACTATACTCTAATATACCTAAATTAGAGATATATTAAATAAATATTACCCACATTTTTCAGTGAACAACTTTTCTACCAGCAACTTTGCTCAGATTTAAAATAATAGCATTTTTTCTAAAATTAAATCCGACTGGAGAAATACTTAAGAAAGGTTATTTTTTGATTTTTCCAGGAGTTTTCCCAATAAGTGGGAAAAATGAAGGAAGACTGGAAAAATAGGCACAATATTAAAGATAAATTATTCAATAAATATAATATAATTTATAATACATATGTAGTTATTTTACCATAATATGACATATATATTGTTGACAAAGCAATAAGTCATTGGCGGATCTAAGGGTTATACAACACAAATAAATTTGATTTTCAAATAGAAACCTCCTCCTTATGAACACTGATTTGAATAGAGAATATTTTTCTAGCAATTTTGATACGCATAACACAAATATCAGATTTACCTTTTATGAGCTGCGATAACTCATAGTTAAACTCAAGTTAAAGTTTAGACCAGAGTAGTAAGGAAGGATTATAGATAGACCATCAGATATGGATGGATTTAATCAGGATTGATGAATCAGTAAGAATAAAGGACTCAGAATCGTTGGTAAAACTTGGTAGAAGCCACAAAACTCCTACACTGTGTGTAAAGTGAAAAAAAAATGTATTAGTAAATTAGGATCAAATTGAAGTAAAATAATGTAAAAAAGTTGAATATAAATAATTAAGAATTTTAATATTTGGGAAAACATTGTAGGTCCTTAGCTATTGGTTTTACAATGTTTATTATTATTATTTTTTATCCTATATGTAAAATTTCTCTTAGAAATATTGCTCTTGTTTATCAAGTGTAGCACTGTTTCTGAAAGTAAATTTTATCTAGCTGGTACTATAAGGAGGACAGTTTTTGATTTTCCAGGGAGGTGTTCATAATAATTAGGAAAAAAAGTAGAAATAAATGAACAAATATGTACTTCAATGATATCATGATTTTACATTTTTAGAACTTAGACCTTTGTTGTTGCATTTTGGATCTAGTTGACATATATATATTGTTGAAAAAGCAACAAAGTGTTTTGTTAATAATGATTAATCGTTGTGTATAAATATAAATTGAATTCCCCTCTATTTCCTACCTTCCCAACTTCCCAACTATAATAGTGGCCTAATTGTCCCCAGTCACACATTTGTCACACTTTTCTTTAATATTATGTTTGTGTATTCTACAAGCTTGAATACTTAACCATGTACTTCGTTGCCCCAATTTGTATTTTAAAATATAATGTGGTGATCCATGGTTGATAATAAAAAAAATATTTAAATACCAGATGGCAAATCATCATTTACTTCTTTTTGTAGCATAGCAGTTATTTGTGTGTATTGGATTTCATGGTTTGTTTATTCCAGTAGATCAATAACTTGAGTATCTTGTCTATTATTTTCAACACTATTATCAGCTAAAAAATTGAATTCAATTTAATAGTGCCTAGTATTATTATTTATTCATGAGATATAAGGATACGACCACATACTTGCAAGAATATTTTTATTTTCTTCAATATTATACTCATAAATAGTGTCATATTAATCTGATGTTGTTTAACTTTTTAATATCTCAGTAGAATTATAGACCAAACATGACTATTTTACTATTTTGAATTCATACTAAAATGTTGACTGAATATTAACTAACTGCATTTAATTTTTTAATAAATTAAAATAAGAAAAGTATCTGTTTTAATATGTATAATTATAAATTATAGTAAAAGTATAATTGATACTGAATTGATTAGGTTAGGTTATAAAATGTACATAATATGAGCAATATTTAAAATAGAATAATAAATCCGAAATAGTACAAAATACCTATTAAAAAAATATTATAAAATATTATAAAGGTTGGTAATATATTCGTATAAAATGGTTTATATGTTACATCTATAATACCCCATGTATAAAATGACTAAACCGTAACACTTTATAATGACTAAAACATTTTTTTTTTTTTTTAGTTTACTTTAATAGTAAAAATATTGTACATTTTAAATTTTAATATGTATTTAAAGTTATAAATTAATTAGCTGTCCCGCTCAGCATTGCCCGTGCCATTTGTTTATTATTTTTTTTATAATATTATAGAAATTATAATATTTTCGACTTCGATGTGTGATATTTATGTAACGAACCAAGGTAACCTTTGCGGTGTTAACATAAAACAAGATAAAATTTAAATAATATGTATGATCTTATATTATCAATAAGTTGTGCACTTTGGGGATATCTAGTCTAGAAACATGTAAGGTTTGTGCTGGTGGCCTGTGGTATCCAAATGATGAACGCTCCTCTCTGGGATGATGTTTTTCCCGGATACAGGTATAGGGTTCAAAAATCGTAGGAATTGACAATAAAAATCGATAACATTATACAAACTGGGTTTGTAGAACATTAACCATTAGGGACATCGTGAGATTTATATACAAAACCTAAAAATATGAAAATACCTGCGACTTGTAGCCATCGGATATAAATAATGAAACAAACAAACCGAAATTCCGTGACAGAGTCTCACGGATATTCGGTGTTCGGTCACTCGTTAACCACCTGCTGGTTTAAGACCGGTTCCAAACATTACATTATACTATTATTATCCAATAATAATATTCTATTGTGACCGAATATTTACGACGTATATTATAATATTAGGTTAAGTTATTTCTATTCGTATAATGGCAGAAGTTTCAATATGTATTTATTTTACTATATAATATGACGTATAAATTGTTGAAAAAGCAATACTATTAACCGAGCTTCACTTAGAATCGTTTTTCGTTAGCAATGGTTAATCTTTGCTTATAGATATACATTAAATTTCTCTCTATGTCTTACATCCCTTCTTTTCATCTATAACAGTGGTCCAACCATCCTGCGAAGTATGCCCGTCTTTTTATTATTTGGTTTTTTAACGTCAAACGACGTGGAAAGTTAAAATCTACAAAAATATGCTATAAAAAAAAAAAAAAGCTGTCCTAGGATAATTGGAATGGATACAATCACTATTGCACGTGGAAAGTTAGGAAGGTGCAAAAGGGAATTTAATGTTTATCTGAAAGCAATGATAAACCGATTGAGTTAGTACCAAATTGAAAGTCTCTACGTGCATTTATAACCAAATAACAGCCAAAAAATCCCAAAAATTAAAATTCTTTAAAAGCTCGAAAGTGGCACAAAAGCTTTGGCAATGAAACCGTTAAAAAGTAAATAAAAAAGCAACATAAAAGATTTCTTGTAATTTTTCGATTTAATCATTTTTTCTAGTAGAAAACGTTGTCCGTGTTTTTATAAAATAATGAAATCGTGAAATTATACGTTTTCCTATGTTTTTTTCCCATTTAAGTGCTTTTATTTAAAATATGGCGTCGAAAATCAAAATATGACCTCTTAATGTACATTCTAGACAACTTGAGCTTTCAGAAAAGGCGCTACACGTAAAAATCGAAGTAAGTTTACTAGGAAAAAACGTGTTCACAGACTAGATTAAAGAAAAAAAATAAAGCAATTATATAGGATTAAATTGAATTATAATGGAAATTAAGGTTATTAGTATCTATAAACATAAAACGTAATTATATTAATCGAATTATATTAGTCGAACAATTTCGCAAAATTTTTTATTTGAGAATTTTTCACTAAATTACGCAATAGCTTTTAGAGTTAATTTTTAGATTATAAGCATTTGTTATTAATTTAATTCAATTTTCAATTGTGAAAAATTAGGTAATGCATCGTCTATGTAAAATGTAGCGATATGATTACCCTTCTTCCGTGACATTGATGATAAATGAAAAATGTATGAATAATATAGTTTAAAAAAAAGAGCCGATACTGGGGACAAATGGAGCCTTGGTTGTAGGTGGGTAATTGGGATACATTAGGTTATTTAATTTATATCTGTAACCAAAAAGTTTTTTGGGTTGGCTCAATTATTAAAAAAAGTACAGGAGAAATTAAAAACGACTTTTTTCGTATCTATATTCAAAATGCACCAAAATAAGTCATTGAGCATTTTTTGATTAAATCAATGTTTCTAATATAAAACATTGTTTTATATAGTTTATATATTTACCTTTTTTTTGATAATATTTTTTGGTTTTTCACATTATTATTAAAACCCATAGGAAAATCCTCCTTAATGCACTAACATGAATTTTTTCAGAAAACATAGTTACATCAGTGCATAATTTTTGGTAGAAAAGTTGTTCACAAAAAAATACACATCATAGTAAAACCAATATATCCCTTGTTATGATCTGAATCTAAATTGTTGAAATAAAATATAAAAAAATAAGCTATGTATATTTTAGTTGCCATACATGAAATAAAAAATTATACGTGATACTTATCAATTATTGAAGTGCATCTTATAATAATCATTATTAGTATAGTAGTGAACAACTAATCTTTTAGAAAACTTACTACGAAGTATAAAATGTTGCACTTTTTCTGAAATGTTTTTCTCTAGTTAATGCATTGATAAGGATATTTTTTGATTTTCCGAGGAGTTTTTGAAATAATCGAGAAAAACCCAAAATAAAAGTATAGGTAGAACGGAAAATATTTACGGCATGCCGCGGTGTTTCCATTTTCATTGTTTTAATTATATTAACACGATGTTTTTATCTCGCTCCAACGATAAGAGACCTTTTTTGTTGCAGTTTTCATCTAATTCATAAGTAAGTTATTCGTTTTTTGATTTTCTTTGTAGTCTTTTTAATAAATGAGCAAAACCGAAAAAAATGCAGAAAGTCCGGAAAATGTACAAAAATAATTAATTTATTATTTTTACTTTAGTTTTTTAATGCAATTTAGTTTAATATATTCACAAAGACTTAAATGTTGACAGACAACTTATATTTACTTTTTCTAGATATAGTAAAATTTTTAAAATCCATTGATCCATTTTTGAGCTAATTATAGACATTTTAATTTTGTGAGTATTACGTAAGATACGTAGAGTACATTATTTGTATTCAGTAGATAATCTGTTGATAAAATTGTTAGAGTTAACAGAAATGCTTGAAAATTTTACAGGAGGTTCCTTAAATTTTGTACTTTGTGGTTAAAATAAAATATTTGAGCTTTATGTAGTATTCCTTTTTATAAAGGAATTTTGATATCAAATTGTAATGGATATTGTAAATATCACGGCTCTTCAAACTATAAGCAAACTTCCTTCAGAATTGTTATTCGTTAGCAATGGTTTATCGTTGCTTACAGATATAAATAAAAATTTTTTATTAAATTAAATTGCTGGTAGAAAAGTTGTTCACAGGGAAAAAAAGGTCGTAATATTTTTTAACCAATACCTACATATTATAAATTTTCCCGTTTTTTCTCATTTATTATAAAAACAGCTGGAAAAATCAAAAAACGAATTTCCTAAAACACATTCTCAGTCAGATTTCCTTTTAGAAAAAGCGCAATCCTTGAAAATTGGATCGAAATTGCTGATGGAAAATTTCTTCACAAAAAATAAAAAATAAACATCATTGTAAAACCAATGCATTCCTCGCTCCACTCAGAATCTAAAAACTCAACTTGACGCATTAGACCCGGCTGTAATTAGTATTAAACCTTCTACGCGTATAATATCTAGTTTCTTGTCTCGGATTAAATGTACGATGTATCGTCTTAAAAAACCAAATATTTATATTATTCTTATATATACCTACTATATATTATGTCATAATATTATTCTGTCTGCAGCTATATACTTGGGGGCCAAGGACGACGGCCTTGCAGGCCATCCAAACACACATGCCACAAAATGTATAGGCCTACCTATAATGTTACTGTGCATCTATGTCCTGTACGTACAAATGCCTATACATATTCTTTATTATTTTTTTATTACCATACAGGTATATAATATCGTTAAAAATCCGATAATAAAAAAAAAAAATGAAAAAAAAAACATGTCTACAGGTTCTATACACAAGATAGTATATGATCATTCCGGGGGCTGTCGCCATTGATAGTTGTTTATAGTACACATTAATATAAGTGTATGCATATAATATACGCGTTCCCGAAAAACAAAGGAAATTAAAACTGCTTCGTGCACGCACATCACGGCTCTGTGTAGGCATATATAAGTCGATTGATAGTATGATATTTATTTTACTTCCACAAGTAAACTCCAGACAAACGAATATCAGAGAACCACGCGCGCCACTCGCCGATCTTTAAAAATTTTAATATTATAGGTACGTATTTCAGGCAGGTGTTCGAAACGCATTTTTTTTTAAACATTAAAAAAAACATTTATCAGAAACAATCGGAAATTGTAACAACGTATAGGTTTTGTTAAAATTTTCTGACTAAATTTATTTCGTAATACGGTTTTTTGTTAAGACAAATAGTTTTAGTCGGTATTTATTACCTAATCGAATAAAACTTTACAAATTTTTTGTAAACGTAAAAAAAAAAACTTGCCCGTAAGTATGTAGAGTTAAGCGTTTTTGAGGCTTGTTTTAATTTTATTTCAACACACCAAATAATATTGTAGTTACTGCAACTTTGTTGAATTTTCAACACAGTTTATATTATAAATAAATCATTGTAAACTAGTAAAACCAATCGTTTTAAATTTTTTTTTTTCATTTTAGCTAGCAAAAATGCCAAAATATACAGTAACTCCAAAAGGCCGTGTTAATATGGGCGCTGAGTATGTATAATAATTTAATGTTTAAATACAAAGGTAGTCATTTTTTTATTACTTATATATGTATAGTTATTAGTTATACTCGTATATTAATAATATTTTGGGTGGCAATGTTTACGCAGATCCGGCACAACTACTGGATAACCAAAAAATATATACATATAATATTATGTCGGTTAGAGCTAAAATAATTTTTAGAGAATTCGAATTGGCCGTTGTTTTTTTAAATTCATATAAGTCTAGGGATGCAATACTACAGGTCATATAACAATATAATTGCTGTGAATATTTTTTAATAATTTGTATTTATTTAAATAAAACCTATACTTAATATAAATAACATACATTTCAATTTTTAAAGTTTAATGTACAGTTAAGTATAGGACTATAGGTATACCTGATAAATTCTTGGTAACATAATTTTAGGGTCGATAATATGCAGTTTATAGTCAAATGTTTATGTTTCAATACTCGAATATAGCTATGTGCACTAAAAAAACAAAAATTCAATTTGTATTATTATTTATTTAATTTTTACTTCGAAAAATCAAAAAATTAACAATTTATACAATAATAATATAGTGAAAGAATGAAAGTTATTTTATAATTTAGTACAAATATTTACATAATTTCATCTGTATTGCCATTCGACTGTTATTTTAGGTATGTAATGTATACGGTTTATCAAATCTCATGTTGCTGTCAAATTGTCCTTGGTATACTTAATTTTTTTATTATTTTCTATTAAAATTAACAACAAAAATAATTTTCACGGTAACATGTATTTTTGTCTCTATCGCCGATTCAACAGCGCTGATAAAGTGTTTTTTATGTATAAATTCTAGGTATCTATTTCATTAATATATACAAGTTTTATTCGATATTTTATAAGACGTATAAATAAGATAATTTTTAGTTCCTAAAACACCGACTACATAGCCGGAATTTTTAAATGCGATCGGCATTGCCAATATTCCAGTACCGATACTAGCCTTTAACAAGTGTATTAAAGTTTCCGAAAACCTGAATGGGCAATAAAATCGTTAATTTTGTGCAATGTTAATGATTCAGATATTTTCGTTTAGGCATACTTACGACGTTGGTAGCCGAACAGTTTGGTAAGCATAAGGATCATAAGGATAATCCACTAGGTCCTTTTTGGATGTAAAATTGCTGCAGTCAACCAACTCAACACTGCCTAAACTACATTTAAGAAAAACAAATAACAAAATTATAGTAAAATTCGTTAGATATTCGTTAATCAAATTCATAGGTTAGTATAAGTACTTTAAATGGTAATCACATATGATAAATATAAGTATCAGGGACTGGAACCAAACTGAAAATAACCGATTCAGGAATCAAAAAACCCTTAACATATTGGGAACCGGAACTGAATTTAAATATTTTCAAATAACTGGAACCGGAACATATTTTTAAATTAAAAAAACGGGTTTAACAATAATAAATTATTTTGTTTTTTCCTCCGTGGCTTATGATAAATGTATCGACTATAATGCTTATACCGCAGATTAAAATACGACTGCTTTGATAAACTATTTTTATTTTTATTTAGAGCAGTTTATTTCTTATAAAATCATGATATTTAATGGGGAAATCGGTAGGTAAAATATTAAACATATATTATTAAAGAAAATATATAATGTCTATTTAAATATTTTACCACAATATGACATATATATTGTTGACAGAGCATCACTATCAATTGAACTTCGCTCAGAATCGTTTTTTCGGTAGCAATGGTTTATCGTCACCCGCCTGAAAAGTTTGTCTGTCTTTTTATGTTTGACTACTACTAATTTAATAATTTAATGCACCTATGTAAAACATTTTCTCTGAAGATACTACAGAATAAATAAAAATATATACATTTTTGGAATCGTTTAATACTTGTTTTAACTAAAACTCTAACTTAAACTCTCAAGTTTTCCAAAACCTGAATCAGAACCAGAACCTCTTAATAAAATAATTAAGTAGTGGAATAGTAAAAACGGAAGGTACCAGTACCTGATAGATATATATATATATAGTATCATCACCTAATGAGCTTTACATATACAGCTTAGGGAATATCGTCTCTTATACGGATTTAATTGTAGAAGAAATTAGGAACGACCTTTAACCTATGCCCATTGAAACATTTATAGAATTTAGAATTCTACATAGACGCCTACCTAAAATTTGTACAATTTCCATAAAAATATATTAAATAACTACAACTTAATAAAGAATTATTTTCAACTTTTTATACAAATGTTGATATGCGAAATTTTTTATATCAATTAAATTATAAAATATAATTTGTGATAAGTCAACTTGTAATTTTATTATTAACTTATGCGACAATTTTTGATTCGCATAGGTAAATGTCTATAATGTTGTAAAATTTGTAATAGAAGTATAGCTAAAGTAGATTTTAAATGTTCAAGAAATTAATGTAATTATTAAAATTAATCAGAATGAGAATTATATTTTTCAATTTTTTCAATTCTTAATTGATTAGATTAAGTTTAAATCACCAAAAATTAATAGGTTTATCATTATAAAGATTAAATTATGCTTTATAACAAATATATCCAAACTCATAAATGCTTTACAAGTTTAAATTTGAAATCAAATTTAAACGAAAAAAAATTACAGCATTTCAAATTATGTATTATCGAACTGCGCTCGGAATTATCTTTCGTCAGCAATGGTTTATCGTTGCTTACAGATATAAATGAATTAACCTTATGTATTCTACCTTCCCAACATCTCACCTAGAACAGTGGCCGCTCCCATCTCTAGTATTATCTTGTTTTTTTTTACTTTTTTTAGACTTATCGGGAATTTTACTGAGAGAATATTTTTTGAACTCATATCGAGAATTATATGAGTTATTGATGAATTTATATTATATGGGAATTATATGGGTTATTGTTGAACTCGAATTGTAAGTTATATGAGTTATTTGTTGAGAATTATTGTCTCCCAGTATACAAGTCATATTTTTATTTACTTTATTTTTTTTTGAACTTGCCGGGATTGATACTGAGAATTATATTGAAAATTAATATTGATTATTGACCTTTGATAAACATATGAATATATATTTTTAATAAGTTAAAATAAATATATATATAAAAAAGAAAAGAGAGAGGAATACATTATTTTTAAGCATTATTTTTATAAGGAACAATCATTAATAAACCGACCAATCCTGAAATTACTATAACTGAACCCGAATCATTAATTGATACGGAAGAAACTGGGACAAAAGGTGCGGATTTATTGAATGAAACATTTGGTAAAATTAAATTAGACGAACAAATAGCATCAAACAGAGAAATAGGTACGCGTAGTAAATTAGACATTATCCATACTGATTTACAAAAGAATAAACGAACCCGTAAAATCACGGAAAAAACAGAAACTTACGTGATGCCTCTTATCGATGCAATCAAACTCGTATCCGAATATTGGGGAAAAACAGATATTTTCCCCTTTATAAGTACGTGGGCTATAAAAAAAATATTAACAAACGTATTCAAAATACTGTATGGTGCGTCCACACTTCAAATCGAGTTAAATTTAATAAGGATGGGAAGGAGTGAAACTATTCTATCGTATAAAAATCGGGTAGAATATATGTTGCATCGCCTGTGCAGCGCTAATGTTGCGAGAAAAACTGAATAAGACGCACGATCAATACTCGGGAGCAGGCGTTAGTAAGATGTAACAACGAATTAGATGGACAGGTAAGAACTGAAGTAAAAACGAAAAATCTTATTGTCTTGGAATAAGCTATGCAGTAATAATTGCTGAAAAAGGTATTACAAGCTGGTTAGACGCATTCAATTATTACAGACGAGATGAGGCGGTTAGGTATAATAATAATTATTTCAATAATCTACCGAATATTTCGAACGCGAACATAATCCGAACGGTAATAAATAATTATCGTAGACTAATCGAGTGGTATATTTACGGTTGGAAACATTATATGGCGGAAGACGGATTCGACTGCAGCAATCTTTTGACCCGACAACTGTGCTGCGATTACCGTACAGCAATAACAATAATCGTGGTCCGATTAATAATTACGTGCCACGTAGGGCGTAAGTATAAACTTAAAAATGCGTTATGTTCTGAGTCTGTAATACAAAACAAAACAAAATTATGGCCTTTTTTTTCTGTGTAAAACTATTTTGCCATCAATTTCATTCCAATTTAAAATGAAGCAATTTTTTTAAAAGGAAATCTAACTGGGACGGTACTTTAAGGAGGTAATTTTTCGATTTTTTCAGGTGTTTTCCCAATTAATGGGAAAATCAAGAAAACTTGAGAAATTTGGTATAAAACTAAACGAATATTATTTAAGAAAATATATAATGCCTATTTAATTATTTTACCACAATACAATATACATATATTGTTGACAAAGCATCGCTATCAACGATGTGCGCTTAGAATCGTTTTTTGTTAGCAATAGTTTATCGTTGCTTACAAATATACATTAAATTACCTATAACAGTGGCTGCACCCCCCTCCATTATCCTCAAACGTCTTTTTTGATATTCATTGAAAATTTAAACAATTTTAATATTATGTATTTTATTTTATTTTATTAATTTGTTGTTTGTAAAGTAAAAACCATTTTATTTTATTTTTTCTTGCTATTAGGAAACCTAAGTGAATCAAAAGATCTGCCAGGTTTGGCTCATTTATGTAAATGTTCATTGTCTATGGGTAGCAATGTTAGGGCTTATCTAGATGATAATTTTTTTATCTTTTGTCTTATCAAGATAAATAAATATAGTTATCTAAGCATTTATTTTAATAAAAAAAAAAAAGCTCACTTATCTAGATAAATTTATCTAAATACAATTTTATTCGCGTTGTCACAGGCACAACTTGTACGTAATCCCGGCTAAAAATATATGAAGTTATTCTAAAAAGACTATCCATTATTCCTATTTAGTAATTATTACTTATTAGTTATAAGTAATTAATATTCTGTATTCGATTATAAATATATATAAAATATACTAATTAATTTATAAAAGATGCCTAAATTAGTAGTTGCACTATCGGACGACTATTTAGTGGGGCTATACAAATTTCAACACCTAAACCTAATCGTCCTAATGATAAACATTTTTCTGTGTTGTAGATGTTTTTTGCAACGAAATATTCCGACTACTCTTGGTAAATTATAATTTGAGTGGTTTATTAAAAATGTAATTTTCGGGTTATTTTCTCAGTATTCAAAAAATTACCTTGAACATTGAGATAATTTAAAAATTAATGTGTATGTTAATGTTTTAAAAAATTCTATTAAATAATATGAATATTCAAGCAAACTAAGCTGAACGTGTGCCCGCGTATAATTAGGTACAAAAGAGACATTGTGGCTTATTCCAAATTCAAAAATATGTTAATATTTATGAACATACATTTGAGTTTTATTATTTTTCAAATTTAATGTATCTTACTGTAATTGGAATAGGTATTGATAACAAATGTTGATTAATTTGTTTTTATTTAATGTATCGAGGATTCGTATACAATGGAAGATTTGTCTGTATCTTTATTTGGACATTTTTAAAAGAAAAATTTGTATAAGACATATTGGCCCGACTTAATATATAAAAAACAGTTAGCCACTGAGACAATTATAGTTCCATTAATATATTTGAGAGAATTATATATATATATTAGTTTTTTTATTTCAGATCACACTAAATTTTATGAAAGCAATGTAATTTACAAACAAATATTTTTCAATCCATCTTGAATTTAACAAAAAATTATTAACTATCCCGATACTTATTTGAGTGCTATGTTTGGGTACTAAGGTTGGTCAAGTATTTCTACAGTTTTAAAAGAGGGGTGGTCTACTGATTTTGCAGCTGGCATGAAATCTTTAGCTAGGGGCATTGGACTTTTTGATATTGATATAGATTTGACTGAAAAAGGAATTAATCACATTGATGACATTATTAAATTAATCTTCTAAGGAATATATTATTTATTTTATAATATTTAACCAAAAATAACTAACATATTTTCTTGTACTTAAAATATGTTAAAACAGGAAGAACCTCAAAAATTGTACTTTGAAGAAATGAAAAATATTAGTGAATTTTCACTAGAATATACTAATTGTTTGGCTTCTTCTTTGATTGTAAGCAATAAGTTTGGGTTATTTGTTCTGAANAATTTAGAAGATATTTTTTCTATAGATTATATGAGAAGAGAATGGAGACCATATTTAATAGATAGAAAGCCTTTTGTCTTATTTTATACCAAAAAATATGAGGTAACTATGAATAGGAATTATTACTACTGAGTGTATATAATTTATTCTATTAATTGGAGTTAAACTATGACTGTTGAATAATTTATTTAAAGTACTTTATGATATCAAAACCAGTAAACATAATAGTTAACACATTATATGAATGATTAAATATTATATTTGAAATGAAAAATAAATATGGTTTAATTATACATTGTTACCTAAATAATAATACTGTAGTATGAATATATTGGTATTATTGTGTTAAAAACTGAAAGACATATACATTATAAAATGAAATAATTTTAATAGTCTAAAATTAAATAAATCACAAATTTCAGATTAAATATAAGTCAGTAACCTTATTCTTATTCGTGCATTAATATTGATATATTTATTACATTATTTTTATTTTTTTTTTTAGATACAATTTAATGGAGTCACTCAAAAAATGCATATTTTGATAAATGAAACTATCTAAAAACTTTTAACCTACAAGATCAATCCATTACAGTTAAATATCCTTTAAATAGAAATAGATAAAAGTTTTTCATACTTTAAAATAATATTTTAAAGTTTTAAATTTAAATTTAAATTAATAGAAAATCAAACAATTGAAAAGTACTGTAATGGATCAACCCTATACTGCACAGTACTTAAGTTCTATATAGATCAATCATTTTATTAGAAGTTCAATGGACAACCAATATACTATTAGACTCCATGTACGGTGAAGAATTATAGTTATTAATTTTAAATTAGAACTGTGCGTTAAAATTAAGGATAGGCCATATCTAACTATTCGAATACCTAGTTTACCTGTTTGATAGTCCCTAATAAAATAATATATTTTCAACACAATTACAAATTGCTAATAATAATATTAAATAATAGTTATGTAATAATAATAAAAAACAAATTTTACATACAATAAATACCTATGTAAGATTCAAGTATGTGAAATATCTACTCACATTACTTTAATAATGATATTCTAAATTAAATTAAAATCAATACAACATAAGTAAATTTATAAGTAAATTTGTATATTATTGAGGCAATATAATTTGAAAAATAGTGTGATATGATTAATTACAGGGTACTGAAAAAGTGTATGGTTTTGTATTGATTTTAATTTAATTTAGAATATCATTATTAAAGTAATGTGAGTAGATATTTCACATACTTGAATCTTACATAGGTATTTATTGTATGTAAAATTTGTTTTTTATTATTATTACATAACTATTATTTAATATTATTATTAGCAATTTGTAATTGTGTTGAAAATATTTTATGTAGATGAATAATTAAATATAAATGGAATTCATTAGAAATATATTATATTGCAAGTAACTTTTAAAAGATTATTGATTATATTTAATCAACTTTAAAATCACATTTAAAAAAATAAAAACAATAGTTTAAGTAGTTAATACTGAACAATATAATTGCTTCTTATATATATTTTTTTTTTTCAGAAGAAAAGGTTTTTTGAAAAAAGGAAAAGTTTGATTGTTTTTTAACACGTCACTTATATGGAACTGTTGCTTTGGTTGGAATTGGTAGTGACAAATTAGATTATTATGATAGTTATGATGGTGAAAAAGTAAATATTCGGATTGCTGCAGCAAGTAATTAAAATATGCAAATTTATTTAAATTTTGTTGATCATATACAAAATAATATTTTTATTTTAGATGCATTCCGATGTCTTATAGATTGTGGTATTGACGATATTTATGTATCCACCATGGGTGACCACGAGACCACGAGCAGCAGAAGGTTCAATATTAAGCTTTTGGAAATTTCAAGAATATAATAATGATAAAGATTGTTTNCTTAGAATATCATTACTTGAAAAAACAGATAAGTTAGTACAATATTAATGTATAATTTTATGTATATAATAATATATATCTGACTTATCATGAACCAGTGATTTCTTTGTAGATATTTTGTGAATTTCATTAATTTTTTTTTTAAATCATAGAATCATTAAATTGCTTTTGTTTACTAGTTTGAAAGTTTTAACATAACTCTTTATACAAAAAATGAATTTAGATTTTGCTGGTTTATGATAAATCATGGATCGTCTAATATTGTGCTTATAAAAATAATAATAAAATATAATTATTTTAAATACATGATTATGCATGTGCTATGGTGGTTGCTATTGGAAAAGCAGCAACTGTTGTTTTCAGAACTTCAAATGTTTTCTGGTGTGCCATGGAGTCCGCTGAACATTACACAGGTGATAGAATGTGGTGATTCGGTTTATGGAATTAACAAAAACTATAAACAACTTAGAAATTAACAAACTATTTTTAAAATTTTACCACTTCAGGTAGTCCCTCCTCTATATATATAAATACATGTAAAACAATTTAAATTTTGGGCATATAAAATTTATTATTACAACATATATTAATGATTTTATTCAATTATTGAATCCTCATATTACAAATATATTTTTAATCAAATTGTACAATATTAATTTAATACATGGCAAGGGGGCAAATATACAAAATGTATTATAATGAATAAATAAGATATACATATACACCAATGGCATACATCATAGTATAAAAAATATTGTTCTCAAATCTTTCATCATTATCATATAATTTGATGTCAGATGCAAAATGACTGACACTAGCATAAAATGCTCAACCAGTGTTATTTGGTTAATGGATATATATCTGAAATGTCTGGATATTTAACTTAGGTATACATTATAATACAATTATGTACAATTCAGATGCCAGAGCTAGCTCTTTCAAATTTAAATCCAAATATACACTACGCTAAGATTAACATTCTATATATTATAAAACTTATTAAACTTGGTTTTAAAATCCCAACATTCATATTTAACATAAACTGAATACCATTAAATTAATTATTAAAATTTAATTCCATAAAATCACAAAGACCAAAATAAAAATATGTAAGCTTAAGATCAGTATTATACAATTTTTTTTATTAATTTACACATTGAAATGTTGCAGTTTTTAATTTTTTTTTGTACAAATTCCATGCAAATTTTACATTCCATCAAAATATATTTAAAGAATAAAATAATTAAAAACATTATATACATTTCCATCTATAAAAAAATTAAAAGTTGTTTCTATTTCAAAAAAAAAAAAATAAATAATTATAATTACTTACTACCATTTTTTTAAAAATTTCCTTACAAATGTAAAAACAGAAATTCTCTAAATATGTAGTCTCAAAAACATGATATTTATGATATCAAATTGGATTCTTTTGGATAATGTTCCTACAATATCTTCGGCTTTAAAATAATTTTCAATCTTTCTATGATCTCCTACCAGAGACTTTTCTGCTGATTTTTCACTTGATTCAATAGGAATTTCTCTACAAGAAGATCGAAAATTGTCTACAGCTTGGTGTTACTGATTGTATGATGTTTTACCCATCAAATTATTGGAGTGTATGTTTAGCCGTTCTGCATCAGTAAACTGAATAATACAAAATAAATACATAATTTTGTTAATTTATTAGTGCATAAGGAATGGCATAAAAATTAATTTACAACCCAAAACAGAAGTATAATACAAACAAAATAAAAATTGTTTATATTCTATATTAGATATTTATTATATATTATATATTACAGATCCATTGAGCTACAGACAATTGAATTTTAAAATAAATTACTAAATATAATTAAGGATATTATAAATTAACGTTGTAATAAAAAAAATATACCTTGGGTTTTAATTCTATTTATAGAATAATCTTCATTTTTTGATTGTCTGATTACAGTTATATGGGATTGATTTTCTCTAACTGTAAGTGGTAGATGGACGTTTCTCATATGTTTTCTCATTTCAACTCTATTAAAGTCAATATAATTGCAATATTGGCATTTATACAAGTTCTCAGTGTGACATAATAAATGAAAATCGATGTTATCTAACTTGACTTCTCTAGTGTGGATTGAATTTGGTGAACAATGTGGACATCTATGAAAAAAATACGTTTTGTTCAAAACTATTTAAAATACAGTAGAGTAAAACCTCGTATTACCATCACCATTATGCCAAGAACTATGGCAATTAACAGAGAATTCTGGAATAAAGGTTTATATTTTACCAAAGTGGGCAAGTGAAAGAAAACAATCAAAAGCGGCAAGTGAAGTTAATTCAATAATTTTTCCTTTGGATTATGATTAAATTAAACAACTAATAATAATTAACTAGATTAGTTAAAAGTTAAGATAGAAATTAAAAAAAAGTTGACCCAACAATGAACAATGTTACCCACTATCTAAATGTTTTTGAAATGTATAGAAAACATTATATTAAAAACTGACAAAATCCCGTATTGTATAGTTAACTCAGTAAAAATAAAGTTACTTTATTTTCAAGTCACAACATTCGTAAGTCGTAAATTGTCCTATCGTATTGATTCATACAAACATTTACCTTTAACACTGTGAAAAAATGAAACATTAAATTTTAGGTATGGTACATTGTTTCCAGAGACTTATAAGCTACACCTAAGCTATACAAAATGTATTATTTAAGATTAATAATTTCATTTGAACGGCAAATTAAATGACAAAAGTATAATAGAAAAAAATTCACATGTCAACTGTTGTTATCGGATGCTACTAAATACTAAAATCAGTAATGATAAAAAACAACTTGTTCCACTTCCATTTACTACCCTCACCAAGATTAATTAAAAGGATGAGAAATATTATTTAATAACATTTAACTGTTAGATATCTCTTTGAGATATCTATCGGTTTTATAGTCATAAATTCTAGAAAAATAGTTTTGTATAAGTCTAACTGTAAGAGAGTAAGCACATAGTCGGACTTGTTATATTTTATATTTTTGGGTTTAAAACATGTCGGATATCACAAACTTTTTTTTTTATACCCACGAATGTCTTTATGGTGATCATACTGCAGCGAATTTTAACGCGATGACAAAAATGTTGTACGGTTTGTTTTTTTGACGATGAGGGATAACAGAGAGTTAAGGTCAATCGAGTTTCTACTGTAGTTATAAGTTACTCACAAATAAAATTTGTAGTCTTTATGAATGATTGATATGTGTGTCTTGAGTGAATCTACATTCCAAAGAAATTGTTGATTACAATTCTCCTTTGGACATTGAAAACGTATATTTTGTGGAATAAACTGTGGAAATAACTCATCTCTTAAGTTATTGATGGGAGATTTGACAACAATTTTTTTATTCCACTCTTCAACTCTCGTCTGTAATATAATTTCAACAGTTGCATTGTATAAACGAAACATAAATCGTTACAGAATTTAGTGCCACAAAAAAAAAAAAAAAAATGTTTACCTTTTCATAGTTCATAGGTTTAAATGAACTGGCAGACAGATTGATTAGTTGGTCAAATTTATTTTTACGTGTTGTTCCTAAAATATCTTCCTCTTTAAAATCATTTCCAAAATTTCTATGAGCTTCTACCGGAGACTTTTCTGTTGATTTTTCATTTGATTTGACAGGAATTTCTCTACAAGGAGGTCTAAAATGTGGCTCGAAACTTTCTAAAGCTTGGTGTTTCTGTTTGTATGTTGTTTTACCCATCAAATTACTGGAGTGTATGTTTAGCCGTCCTGCATCAGTAATCTGAATAATACAATATAATTATATAATTTTGTTAAGTTAATAGTGCATAAGGAATAGTGTAAAAATTAATTTGCAATAAAATAAAAGTATAATACAAACAAACAAAAAATTGTTTATATTTTGTATTACATATTTATTTTGGTTGTTGATATAAAATTATACTTACTTTATTGCATAATTTTTGTCTCTTATATTCATTTTGTCTGTTATTTTTTTCAAACATTTTTTTCGATGTTCCAATGGAAGGTACTGTATAAACAATATAATGATACTTATTACAAAATGGAAAAGCATTGAGAGATAGTATCATAGGTAACTCGAGGATTAGCTAAAATTGCCTTTAAACAATCTTTCACAAATTGTGAAAATTCCATGTGAAATAGATGAAATACATAGAATGGGGAATGTATCAATATTTTGGGCGATGTTATATCATGAACTGTTTAAAAGTCATTCCCTAAGAAGTTTACAAATATAGTTTGACAAAATTGAAATTCCGTATTATTATACTAAGTTATACTTAATTATTCACCCAAAATGTTATTTGCGTTGACTATTTTTCTATAATTTTCTATAATTGGATTTTATAGTGTACTCCCGATGTTCAATTATAGACTCATCAGCAATGTTAGTGAATTTCTCATTAAAAACGTGTAAAACAATTGTATTAATTAATGCTTATTTTAATTTTATGAATATAATCTCTGGTTTATATTATGAATAATTACTCACGTGGAATTGTATCTTCAGGTGAAGAATGATGTTTATTTAATTTTGGCAAATGTACTTCTTCTTTGGTATATAATGTTATCCCTGGAGATTCTGCATCTTTCATTGATTTCTTTTTTTGTGTGACTTGTGTTGACACACTAGTTTCTTGGGGGGTTTGGATTTTTCGATTTACATCTTTTAAAATCACTCTATCATTTAAGACAGGAGGTAAACATCCAACCAACTTGCTATAATCTACTATAGCATTTGTGTACTCATCATCTCCAATAGACATATTAACTCGTAAGATAGTCCAATAGTTATTAAACTTTTTATCTTCATTAGAATGCCATTCTGTCATATGATTCACTATTCTTTTGTAATTTAGTTGTATGTAATAACAAAACGGACATAAATATCCAAAAATTTTATTAATTCCTAATGGAATTGAATGTAACGTGTGGGAAATTCCTTCAGATTTATCATAATTAGAATGCTTTGAAATATGTTTATCTAACTCAAATACATTTGGGTAAGTCATTTTACACAATTTACATTGATATCTATATTCACCAGTGTGACAAGTAATATGATCATAATAACATGTAATATCATAGAAGATAGAATGACAAAAAACACATTTAAAAATGGTATTAATAAATACCACATCCCATAATGGCTTTAAATTTTGAACATTTAAAATTCCAAAATTTTCTTTCACAGATTCATTTATCAATATTTCAGCTACGTCTACGGATATCCTGGAGGGTAACATTTCTTCAACAGAATGTTCTTCTTTATAATGGCGCACAATTTTTGGTCCTTTATCATTATAACTACATAATTTACATTCTAACATATTATTATCAAAAGTTTGAAAATATGATTTATCCTTATAATCTTCTGGCGTTAAAACTTTTAAAGTTTTCACTTGAATAGTTTCTTCCTTGTTATTATCAGACACATTGTTCAACTCAGATTTTTTACTCAATACAAAATTCATTATTTTTTTTGTTTTTTTGGTATACTTTTTGTGTGTACACAATATTTTTTTAGTTTTTAATTGTGATTTATTTGTTTGTCTTTTATACATTTTTGATATTTTATCATCACTAATTAACTTATTAGTTTGATCATCTATTTGTTCAATAGTTAAATGTCTATTTTTTTTTGATGATACTACAGTTTTAGTATCACAATAATTGATTTGTTTATTTTGTCTACAATGTCGAATGTTAGGGATATTTAACACACCATCACAGCAAAACATTACACTAATATCAGCATAAAGTTTTTCTAATTCAGTCTTCCTGGGTTTGGTAGTTTTTATATCAGTTTTTTTGTTAATATTGGATTGAACTGGGATCATTTTTCTTGGTCTACAAAGGCTATTATTTTCATTATTCAACAAAGGCTTATTTATAATTTGTGGATCATAATGATGAAAAGATGGAGGTTGAAATTGTTTTCCATCGGAACTTTTCTCCTTTGATGGAACAACTGATCTTATTGATTCCATGAGCAATGAAGAACGAAGCACTTTTGAACTTTCAAGATCAATTAATATGCCTGAATTTAATACTGTGACAAACTTTTGTTTAGAATCGTTTGAATAACCAATTTTATGAAATCCGTTTATGTCACTATTTAATTTATCATAAACAGTTGATGATTTATTTAGTACTGAACTAACAATAGGTTGTAGTTGGGGGTGCAGCGATAATGGTAAATTTTCATGAAGTAAATTATCAATATTTGGTTTCCTTAGATAAAGCTAATTCAAATCTTGTTCTTCCAAAATCCATTAGATCTACTAATGGTAGAGGCGATGGCAATGCCGGAGGCTTAACAGGCTCAATATTTATATTTTTTATACTTGTTTATTCACATAAATTGATGATTTATCATTTTTAATATGTTCAATTACTACTTCATTTTTACTTTAAAAATCATAATCAACACTCTTAAGTTAATTATAATGAGTCAAATTTTCAATATTACTTGATGTGGCCAAATTATTAGGAATTTCAGATATACTGTCTAGTTTAAGATCATCTTTATTTAATGTCAAATTAATTTCTGAACACCTGAAAAAGAAAAAAATTACAAGTACAATTCATTAAACACCATATATTCAATATCGAATGAATAATATTTCAAATTTAGTATGTACTTATTTTTGTGTTCATATTTATCCAATTGATTACGATTCTTGGCATCCAATTCCTCCTAGTAAAAAATGAGATTTGGTTTAAGCGTGATAAAGGTTTAGTATTATGTAAAGTATGATTATAATTAAAATTTGGATGTTTATGAAACTGCATATTTTTTTTCTATTTTTCCAATTCAATGCTGACCTGGATACAAATTTGATTCATGTTCTACTGAATCAAATAATACTGTTTTTACTTTGTATTTAAAATGCATATTTTTGGATTTTAAGAATATAAATGCATATTTCAGTACATAATCGACATTTTTAAAAACGAAATATGAACCAAAAAAATCATACGGTTTGAAAATATTAATAAACCATTTTATCACATTTTAACGCTTTTATTGTAAATTTATATGAAATAAATGCTTTTATACATATTGTACACATAAATGAGTTTAATGTAATATCAGAATGAATACAATTTTTATCCGGGTCAGCATTAGTTCTTACATCATGCAATTTTATCAGTAACAGTTAAATTGTTTGAATTCGAAGGAATTTGAATTAAGGATAAGGATTTTAATGGAATAATATTTGTCGTATTGAAAAAATGAAAAAAAATATGCAGTTTCATAAAAATTCGAACCCTTGGAGGTTAATATTATTAGGTTCTTAAAAATAAATTTGTTATGACATGGGTTTATATCAGAAGTGTCCTCAGGGGAGGGACGAATGGGACAATCGCCCCGACTCATTGCCTATCATCTTCAAATGTCTGTAATTTGTATCACACTAAGAAAATATATAAAAGTACACTGTAAAATCATTTGATTTCGCATATAAGACTCCCTTCCCTCACTAAAAAAAAAAAAAATAATAATTATAATAATAATAATGTTATTAGAATTAATAACTAAATTAATAATTTAAAGTTTACATAATTATTATAGAGATTGAAATTCCTCAAGATATATTTAGTGCCATTGAGGAATGTGGTAAAGTATTTTTCTCATAATAAGCTTTTGTTTATATTGGAAACTTTAGTAGTTAGTATTGCTTCAGTAAAACATAGCATTTAAACACCATGTAGGTTATATTTTCTATTTGATCATAAATTGGTACCTATTTAGTTTTCGCTGGATTGTTAAAAATGCAACAACCATAAATTAATATATAAAAAGGGTGATCCTAGAGGGTAACATATTTTCAGGTGGATTAAAATTAGATTAAGGAAAAGTTTTGAAAGTAATGTATGCTGTATATTGTATACTTAGTACTATTTTGCACTATGATAAAAAAAAATTTTTAACTTTTGAAATTAATTTTTTTATATCTGCTTACCTATTGATTATTAATGCAAATTAATGACTGGTTATTTATGATAATTGACACAATGTGTCTCTTTTATTGTCATAAAAGTTTCAGTTTAATAAAACAATTTAAAAATGTGTTATTTATTGAACTAAACAGAAGGTTTAATTATTATATATAATAATGGGATAATGTATAATGTTCACTGTGTATAATATGTAATAAATAGATTTATTGAACTGAAAATATGGAAACATATTTATCATAAACTAATACCTATATAAGTACAGACAGACTTATTCATTTAACACACAATATTTGTTATTTTGAATATTATTCACTTTTTTTGAATTTTCTTTTGGGAAATTAATTAAATCTTAAATTTTTTATTAACATGATATTTCTAATCTCTGGATCTGCCTTAAATGAAGAATCAACTTTTGATTTTTAAATGAAAACCCCTATTTTTAATACCAGAAACCTATAATGATATTTTTTTTTATGAATTCAAATTTTATTTATAAGAATAATATACCAATACATTTTTTTTTGTTTATTGGAACTAATTTCCTAAAAGAAAATTCCAAATAAAGTCAATACTTTTCAAAATAATTAGTGTTGAGTGTATTCATATTTTTTAAGCTTCTGTTTTACAATTATTTGCTTGCTTTCCTATGCTTATTAGATAAGGGAAAAACATCAGAATTTCAAAATATTCAACATAAAAGTAAACAACAAAGAATACTTACTTTTTTGTGTCCAGCATATAATACAAAGCCTCAAACTTTTCCACTTATTGTTTCTGAATTTTTAAATATTCCAACTCATCAATTACTTTTCGCAAATTTGGCAAATCTTTACTTTTGGCTTCAATCGAATGCTTGGATTCTCCACCTTGGCAATCAAAAAATAACAATACTTAAAATCGTAAAAAAAAATATGCGATTAATTATTAATGGCCAGGAACGTAAAAATGATTACCATCAATTCGTCTTCTTCATACAGTTCTATAGTGGCAAAATTGGTGAATAAAAATCGTCTATCGATAAAATTGCGATAACAAGTACGTGTTCGTGTTGACACCCGAACGTCATCTAACAAGACCTATTGCGCGCAATCGAAAGACCGACACTTACTCGACCCGATAAACGATTGCAATTAACAATAAAAACACCGTGAAAATCGCGTATGTAAGCGTTATATGTAATTGTAATTATAATAATAGCAGAAAGCCGAATAACTAAGTCGATACTAGCCGATGACAATCGTTTGCGAATGATAGCCTAATAACGCGTAAAAACAGACGGTACGGTTTTTGTGAATCGGTTCGTGTGTTTGTTGTGTGTGTGTGTGTGTGTGTGTGTGTGTGTGCGCGCGTGTGTGTGTGTGTGTGTGTGTGCGCGTGTGTGTGTGTGCGCGCGTGTGTGTATGTGTGTGTGTGTGTTTGTATACAACAAAAACGACGGAATATTTCTCCACCACCGGTTACAGAGATTGAAGTGGCGTAGTGTGGGTTCACAAAAAACAATCAGCTGTTTGAGTTGTCCGTCGTGGCGCTGCTGTATATAAACTAATGCAAAATTTAAAATTTTTTTAAAAGGTCGAAATGTAAACTGCGACGAAAACAAATTTAACATTATACTAACCGACGTGTACACATCAATACTGTACATACGTTTGGAAATGAACAACAGCGCCAATAGTTCGTGCTGCGCCACCGCCATTCCGGATCACATCAATAGAATGAGAACCACTGTTTATATAGTGGGTAAGGGTCGGGGTACGGCGGCGGTCAGCCGCCACTTTTGGTGAGCCGGACTATACGTATACACCACGGATATAGATAGTAGTTACTATGATTAAACAACGAGTACTGATATGACGGTTCCGAACGTTCGTATCAGTATTAAGTCGCCAAAGTTTCGTTATACCGCCTTAAATATTTTATACGAAACCCGCGATTTTCATAATCCCTGAAATCCTAATACTGTACACAAAATAATATTGCAAAAACTGAAATTATAAACAAACGTGTATTAACCAATTATCACATTATTAATCATGTTTCATAGTTTGATAATATTAAAATTGATATTATCTAAGTGTTTCCTGCAAATTTATGTAAATTTACAAAATTTATTTGTAAATCTATGTTATAGATTATGCCTATACACCGATAATTTCAACATTAACACATCACAATGTAAAATCACACCTAGACCTAATCGTCCTAATGATAAACATTTTGATATGCTTCTGTGTTGTAGATGTTTTTTGCAACGAAATATTCCGACTACTCTTGGTAAATTATAATTTGAGTGGTTTATTAAAAATGTAATTTTCGGGTTATTTTCTCAGTATTCAAAAAATTACCTTGAACATTGAGATAATTTAAAAATTAATGTGTATGTTAATGTTTTAAAAAATTCTATTAAATAATATGAATATTCAAGCAAACTAAGCTGAACGTGTGCCCGCGTATAATTAGGTACAAAAGAGACATTGTGGCTTATTCCAAATTCAAAAATATGTTAATATTTATGAACATACATTTGAGTTTTATTATTTTTCAAATTTAATGTATCTTACTGTAATTGGAATAGGTATTGATAACAAATGTTGATTAATTTGTTTTTATTTAATGTATCGAGGATTCGTATACAATGGAAGATTTGTCTGTATCTTTATTTGGACATTTTTAAAAGAAAAATTTGTATAAGACATATTGGCCCGACTTAATATATAAAAAACAGTTAGCCACTGAGACAATTATAGTTCCATTAATATATTTGAGAGAATTATATATATATATTAGTTTTTTTATTTCAGATCACACTAAATTTTATGAAAGCAATGTAATTTACAAACAAATATTTTTCAATCCATCTTGAATTTAACAAAAAATTATTAACTATCCCGATACTTATTTGAGTGCTATGTTTGGGTACTAAGGTTGGTCAAGTATTTCTACAGTTTTAAAAGAGGGGTGGTCTACTGATTTTGCAGCTGGCATGAAATCTTTAGCTAGGGGCATTGGACTTTTTGATATTGATATAGATTTGACTGAAAAAGGAATTAATCACATTGATGACATTATTAAATTAATCTTCTAAGGAATATATTATTTATTTTATAATATTTAACCAAAAATAACTAACATATTTTCTTGTACTTAAAATATGTTAAAACAGGAAGAACCTCAAAAATTGTACTTTGAAGAAATGAAAAATATTAGTGAATTTTCACTAGAATATACTAATTGTTTGGCTTCTTCTTTGATTGTAAGCAATAAGTTTGGGTTATTTGTTCTGAATACTTGAGATTAATAAATGTTTTATTTATTATACTTAGGAATACAATTTAGAAGATATTTTTTCTATAGATTATATGAGAAGAGAATGGAGACCATATTTAATAGATAGAAAGCCTTTTGTCTTATTTTATACCAAAAAATATGAGGTAACTATGAATAGGAATTATTACTACTGAGTGTATATAATTTATTCTATTAATTGGAGTTAAACTATGACTGTTGAATAATTTATTTAAAGTACTTTATGATATCAAAACCAGTAAACATAATAGTTAACACATTATATGAATGATTAAATATTATATTTGAAATGAAAAATAAATATGGTTTAATTATACATTGTTACCTAAATAATAATACTGTAGTATGAATATATTGGTATTATTGTGTTAAAAACTGAAAGACATATACATTATAAAATGAAATAATTTTAATAGTCTAAAATTAAATAAATCACAAATTTCAGATTAAATATAAGTCAGTAACCTTATTCTTATTCGTGCATTATTATTGATATATTTATTACATTATTTTTATTTTTTTTTTTAGATACAATTTAATGGAGTCACTCAAAAAATGCATATTTTGATAAATGAAACTATCTAAAAACTTTTAACCTACAAGATCAATCCATTACAGTTAAATATCCTTTAAATAGAAATAGATAAAAGTTTTTCATACTTTAAATTAATATTTTAAAGTTTTAAATTTAAATTTAAATTAATAGAAAATCAAACAATTGAAAAGTACTGTAATGGATCAACCCTATACTGCACAGTACTTAAGTTCTATATAGATCAATCATTTTATTAGAAGTTCAATGGACAACCAATATACTATTAGACTCCATGTACGGTGAAGAATTATAGTTATTAATTTTAAATTAGAACTGTGCGTTAAAATTAAGGATAGGCCATATCTAACTATTCGAATACCTAGTTTACCTGTTTGATAGTCCCTAATAAAATAATATATTTTCAACACAATTACAAATTGCTAATAATAATATTAAATAATAGTTATGTAATAATAATAAAAAACAAATTTTACATACAATAAATACCTATGTAAGATTCAAGTATGTGAAATATCTACTCACATTACTTTAATAATGATATTCTAAATTAAATTAAAATCAATACAACATAAGTAAATTTATAAGTAAATTTGTATATTTTTGAGGCAATATAATTTGAAAAATAGTGTGATATGATTAATTACAGGGTACTGAAAAAGTGTATGGTTTTGTATTATGTTGTATTGATTTTAATTTAATTTAGAATATCATTATTAAAGTAATGTGAGTAGATATTTCACAATTCTAAATTAAATTAAAATCAATACAACATAATACAAAACCATACACTTTTTCAGTACCCTGTAATTAATCATATCACACTATTTTTCAAATTATATTGCCTCAATAATATACAAATTTACTTATAAATTTACTTATGTTGTATTGATTTTAATTTAATTTAGAATATCATTNTATGAATATTCAAGCAAACTAAGCTGAACGTGTGCCCGCGTATAATTAGGTACAAAAGAGACATTGTGGCTTATTCCAAATTCAAAAATATGTTAATATTTATGAACATACATTTGAGTTTTATTATTTTTCAAATTTAATGTATCTTACTGTAATTGGAATAGGTATTGATAACAAATGTTGATTAATTTGTTTTTATTTAATGTATCGAGGATTCGTATACAATGGAAGATTTGTCTGTATCTTTATTTGGACATTTTTAAAAGAAAAATTTGTATAAGACATATTGGCCCGACTTAATATATAAAAAACAGTTAGCCACTGAGACAATTATAGTTCCATTAATATATTTGAGAGAATTATATATATATATTAGTTTTTTTATTTCAGATCACACTAAATTTTATGAAAGCAATGTAATTTACAAACAAATATTTTTCAATCCATCTTGAATTTAACAAAAAATTATTAACTATCCCGATACTTATTTGAGTGCTATGTTTGGGTACTAAGGTTGGTCAAGTATTTCTACAGTTTTAAAAGAGGGGTGGTCTACTGATTTTGCAGCTGGCATGAAATCTTTAGCTAGGGGCATTGGACTTTTTGATATTGATATAGATTTGACTGAAAAAGGAATTAATCACATTGATGACATTATTAAATTAATCTTCTAAGGAATATATTATTTATTTTATAATATTTAACCAAAAATAACTAACATATTTTCTTGTACTTAAAATATGTTAAAACAGGAAGAACCTCAAAAATTGTACTTTGAAGAAATGAAAAATATTAGTGAATTTTCACTAGAATATACTAATTGTTTGGCTTCTTCTTTGATTGTAAGCAATAAGTTTGGGTTATTTGTTCTGAATACTTGAGATTAATAAATGTTTTATTTATTATACTTAGGAATACAATTTAGAAGATATTTTTTCTATAGATTATATGAGAAGAGAATGGAGACCATATTTAATAGATAGAAAGCCTTTTGTCTTATTTTATACCAAAAAATATGAGGTAACTATGAATAGGAATTATTACTACTGAGTGTATATAATTTATTCTATTAATTGGAGTTAAACTATGACTGTTGAATAATTTATTTAAAGTACTTTATGATATCAAAACCAGTAAACATAATAGTTAACACATTATATGAATGATTAAATATTATATTTGAAATGAAAAATAAATATGGTTTAATTATACATTGTTACCTAAATAATAATACTGTAGTATGAATATATTGGTATTATTGTGTTAAAAACTGAAAGACATATACATTATAAAATGAAATAATTTTAATAGTCTAAAATTAAATAAATCACAAATTTCAGATTAAATATAAGTCAGTAACCTTATTCTTATTCGTGCATTAATATTGATATATTTATTACATTATTTTTATTTTTTTTTTTAGATACAATTTAATGGAGTCACTCAAAAAATGCATATTTTGATAAATGAAACTATCTAAAAACTTTTAACCTACAAGATCAATCCATTACAGTTAAATATCCTTTAAATAGAAATAGATAAATGTTTTTCATACTTTAAAATAATATTTTAAAGTTTTAAATTTAAATTTAAATTAATAGAAAATCAAACAATTGAAAAGTACTGTAATGGATCAACCCTATACTGCACAGTACTTAAGTTCTATATAGATCAATCATTTTATTAGAAGTTCAATGGACAACCAATATACTATTAGACTCCATGTACGGTGAAGAATTATAGTTATTAATTTTAAATTAGAACTGTGCGTTAAAATTAAGGATAGGCCATATCTAACTATTCGAATACCTAGTTTACCTGTTTGATAGTCCCTAATAAAATAATATATTTTCAACACAATTACAAATTGCTAATAATAATATTAAATAATAGTTATGTAATAATAATAAAAAACAAATTTTACATACAATAAATACCTATGTAAGATTCAAGTATGTGAAATATCTACTCACATTACTTTAATAATGATATTCTAAATTAAATTAAAATCAATACAACATAATACAAAACCATACACTTTTTCAGTACCCTGTAATTAATCATATCACACTATTTTTCAAATTATATTGCCTCAAAAATATACAATTTACTTATAAATAATTAACAGCTTTACTAGATAATTAAAAATATAAAGACTTGCATAGTGTTAATAAAATAAATATGAAATTATTTACGTTCAAGAACTTAATTTTTGCAATGCTTTAACATAAACCACGTATCTACAATGGTAATTTTTTGTTAAAAACTACCTACTTATTTGAATACATAAACTATTTGAATAAAAACTATTTCTTCCATAGGGACTATCAAAT